GTTCACGTCCCGGCCGCGGCGCTGCCGTCGCGGGCTCTGCGACCTAGCGCACTAGTCCCCGGATATGACCTGCGATTGGCTGACAACTCAGCCAATAGCGAGCGATCGTTGCAATGCGGATCGCCGTGCGTGCGCCCGGGATACCGAGCGAGACGAAACGGCGAATCTTTACCTGCTCGAAGGATACATTGTTTTGAAAAATCCAAACTTTGAATGTGTCAGGACAATTCTTAGATGATCACGAGTTATGTGTCAAAGTTTCGGACGGTTTGGTATGATATCCTTAAAAAAAAGGGTTGTATTCGAATTGACTGATTTGAGGAGGGTTTCACTTCACCTTAAGGAGATCGGATTTGGTTTGCGCGACGTGTTCAGTGGTAAGTGTCGCGTATATATGCCAGTTCGAGTTAGCCACCTCGACCTGCTTCCGCTAAATCTTACTCGATCCACTTTCGTGGCGCGCTACGCGAGACCACCTTCGCTGTTCGCTCGCGTCTCCGATCCTCGGCCTGCACCTGGCACCACCGATTCTTAACCCTTTAATTACGAAACGCCACTACAGTGGCTTCCGCATGACCGACGCTTTTTTTACGAAGCGCTACTATAGTGGCCCCCTTTATTCCCATGTATTCAAAGCGGCGAATGAAAATATCGAATTCATATGAAGTATTAGCTATCCATACAGGTGGTGGTATATCTCCACATCCGACTATGTCGTAGTTGAAGGGTTAAGGCCATATGAAAGTGGCATCCTTGCGGATTAATCGCTTATAATCGTTAATAAAACTTTTCCCTGAACTAGGTATGTCGAATTGACTGCACGTGGGATTCGCGATTTCTTGAAGTTGACACTTGGCAGAAATCTTTGAAACAGTTTAGTTACCCGTATTTAATTTAAAACTAATCTAGGTAGGTTGGGAGGGATTTAAGAAAAACTGTACCTTCCTGTATGTACTTATCATTGGAAGGAAAGAAGATGACGGCGTTACGCACTTGTATTTGGGGATGCAAAGGGTAAAGATATATCGCTAAGTATTTAATTAAGGGAAAGGACATTTCGAAACGTCGTTTCGAAATATAATGGAAATCATGTACGGATGGGGCAAAATTGATAATCGAAATAATAAATAAATACACTGAGTGATGAAATTAGTTGGCTTGAGAAAAATTGATTTTGTAAGAATCATCAGTATTGCAACCCAAATCATAGTAAGTTTGTATGAAATGGACATGATTTGGCGAAAAGAATTATGTATGAAATTAATTTTAAGTATTGACAACATCAATGAAAGTTGATCACTTTTCGGGTAAAATGCTGCATTCAATTCAAACAAGTTAGTACATGATATAAAAAATTATGGCAAAGAAATGTTTGGGAAGAAACATTGGACATAAAGATAATTCTATTAAATTCCAATTTGTTACACGAATATTATTAATTCCGTGAAAGTTTCTTACTCATTGAAGCGAACCAACTTTGCATTTTAGCACATTTATGCACAGAAAACGAAATGATAATGAGTCAGACTTTGTGAAAATGAGTTCGTGTGAAATTCGTCTTAATTTCATTCGATCAACTTTCTATTTATTTTAGTGATAATAGTCAGTAAAGGTCTATCCGATAGAATTTCCTTTTTTTGTCCCTAGAAAGTCGTTTTTTTGCTCAGTTTAGGGCGCACCAAAGTGTAGTAGACTATAGTAGGGTGTTGTAAGGTATAGTAGGGCGTAGGAGGGTGTAGGAGGGTGTAGGAGGGTGTAGGAGAGGACGCGTAGTAGGGGTGGTGACGCGTGCGCTCTTCCCTGGCGAAGCTCGCCGGGCTCGAAGACGCGTGCTCCGCTCCCGTCTCCTCTCCTCGTACTAATTTAGGCCCTCGTAAGCCGAGGCTCCGAAGCTTTGCGCCAGTTCCTCGGTTAAAATAGACACGTGAAAGTCGCATGGACACATTTCCACCTTGTTTTCAAGATCCCTCGATTCTAACGATCGGGCCTCGCGGGGTTCTGGACTCGGCCGAGTCATAAGGTAGGACCTCTCCGGGAAGTGGAAGAGGTTTTGCCTCTGGACGGTCCCACCGACGAGAACCGTCCTAAGGTCACTTCGAGGTCTCGGCTCGAGGGCGACTCGTCTCGTCTTCTCGTAAATCCGGTGCCCGACTCGTGCCAGATCTCCCCGACGTACGCCACCCTCCCATGTCCGAGGAAAGGATGCGCCAGCACGTCTTCGGCCAGAGGAACGCCGCAAGGTCTTGGAATTATAAATAAGCTTCTGAATCTCCGCGAACCCGGAAAACCGAAGAACTCAAGGGAATCCTCCTGGAGAAGCTGCACTCTCCCTGCCGCGATCCCTTCGCTGGTCCAGGACACCGGGGTCCGGCTCCTGCGATGTATACCTCCGGGCTCGCCAGTGCACGAGCACTTACGACGAGGAACGAGTCATCGCATGATCCTGGGATTATAAATAAGTCCTGAATCACCGTGAAATCCGAGCGCCGAAGTGTTTCGGTCCCGTCGTAACCGAGGTTTTGCCGTTTTCTGGGAGGAGACGAAGTGGGGCTTTTTCTTGAAGACGAGGAGACCACAAGGGTTGGCATCTTCTGGTCGGGTCTGATATTTTCCCCGTGCTGGGAGCCGAGAATAATTCAAGCAACGAGGAAGACCATTTCCTGCGGATGAGATGGCTTCGATGGGTCCCTGTCCTGGGCGGTGACCCTTTAACTGATATTTTCCATCCATGTGCTGGAAGTGATACATAATCGGGGCGCCGAAAAAAAGTCTTTACTTGTAGCGTACCGTTTGAGCTGCGACTATATTCCGATCATCGATGCACCGTCTCGAATTTCCAGTGTCTTTGCTCTGTCGGTGAATTTGGCAGGGAATAGTGTGCAATGGTGTCTTGAATACGAAATTCCCGGCGATCCGAGTGCTGCATGACAACCGGTCGAGAAGAAGAAGCTAGAGATTAACTAACCGAGAAAATGAGCACCGGTGGTGGCTCCAGGTCCAGGAGTCGCAGTCGCCGGCGCGGCTCCAGGGATCATGGTTCGTTTTCCAGCCTCTTCCTTCAACTTCGCTAGGGGGGTTTCAGGGGAACCTTAAAAAATTAAAACACGTCAGAATATCTCTCTGCGACCCAGACACGGAATAATAAAAATTAAATGATTAGTCAAACCTGGAAGGAAATTCGTTAAGTACTGACCAATGCGAGGATTGCGCATGCGCGCATGTATCGTGTTTATTTGATGTACACGCTACGGTCTCGGACAATGTTTTGAGTAAGGTAGGGCGTGTGCGTTTCAGCGATCAATGGCCAGCGTATAGTGATTGCAGAGAGATTCAGGGTACAAGCTGTAAATGTTGAAAAACGGAGAATACTATGCGATATCTTGGTGTGGTGAAACCCCGTGAAACCCATGCTGTTCCCTGGTCTACCCATAGTGTTCACGGTTTTTCTTTCCCGTATTTTTTTTTTTTTTTAATTTCATATATACTTAACCGATAAATTTTCAAGAATTCTGTGTCATTGCTAGATACTTTAGAAATATAGTAGAAGAGACAGCAGAATTTCTTGCGGCTGTCTCGATGCGAGGCGCCTAATCCGCGAAGTCTGATTAGGGAAACCGGACATTGACGTTAATGCATTTCGACGTGTAGAAATATCGCTACGGCCTTATCGAGGGAGCTGGAATCTCTGGGTAAAAATGATTTCTCGCTCCTTGCATGTATCCGGGAACGCCGCTTGGTAATCGGCGGTGGTCCGGCCTGGACTTTCGTAAATTGGGCTTAGCTTGGGAATATCTAAATGCGCTCGGCGGCTCTCTGCCCAATGTGGTAGCACGTGTAAAAGTAAAAAATCCATCGGTGAACCGTTCTCGGGCCGGTGCCTATAATTATCCTTGGCTGCCAGCCGGCACACGCTCACTTTTCTTCCCGGCCCTCGCACCTATCTCGATTGATATCGGCCACCGAGGTCGTATCATAATTCATATTTTCGAGACCTCGCCGCCATTGCCGCTCCACTAGGCCGTCTCTTGGTTGCGTCCTAACTAGTCGGGCACGTAGAAAAATAGGTGAATGAAAATGTATCGCTGCCAGCCAAGTTCTCGACGTAACCAACCTTGACACCTTGAGATGTCTGCCGGTCGACTTGAAAAAATCTGCAGTTCAGCGTAATTCGGTATACAGGCCCTTTCCTTAGTCCCCTGAACGGATTTTCTTCTCTCTGCGAAAGCGCCTTTTTGGTATCTTTGGATTACTTACATCCTCGCGTTAAGGAATGCACATCCACCTATCGTTGAATATTACACAGGGGTGTGTGTGAATTTATTAAAATGATTACACAAATTACGGTGAAGCCAAGCGAAACCAGTCATCTTACCGATGCCGATTAGGTGTATCCAAGGCTATTAGTTCCACACAAGACCACGGGAGAGCGCGGCGAGTGCCAAAGGCAATGAGTTCGAAGTCCCATTGGGCGCGTCTATTGTCACACAGAGCGCGACAGATTAACGTGTCGCGCATGAAAATCAAAATTGCGGCGGCAGGGACGCACGGGGTCAAGCGTAGTTTCGATTGGTTTTTTTTTTTTTTTAGTTTAAACGCGTTGACGTTCCACGTTCAGTGGGACTCCGGTGTTAAGCGCGGCTTTGATTGGTTTTTTTTTTCACCGACGCGTTGACACACCGCACTCAATGTGACACTTGACGCGTTCGGCGAGACTCCGGTCCGAGTCGTTAAAAAGCAAATAGCGGTGGGGGGTGGTACATTCGATGTTTGTTTAACAGTGCAGGGTTAATTCTAATGTTTCCCTATCATCCGATATTTCCAATTCTTTTTAAAGATACAATTGGTATTATTGGAAAACGTTACGGAAATGTCCCGCATCCCGCGACAAGAACGTTTAGCATTCTATTGAATTGCACTTGTTTCGAAGAGTATCGTATTTGAGCAAAATGGCGAAAATCTTTGTTCGATTATCTTCTTTAATTTTGAATTGGTATTTGCAGGTAAGGCGATGCAAAAGCAGAAGAACAAGAACAAGCTGAAGCATCGTGATCTGAACCGCAAGGGCGCGGAGAAGGAGGGCACAGACATGGACGCGTTTGTGAACCCGGCGCCCCCAGCGAAGCAGCAGCATCAGCCTCAGGGTGCCAAGGAGTCCCTACCTCCGCACAAGGCCGTCTCCAAGGAACCCGCGAAGGAGATAACCAAGGAGGCCAAGGAGAAGGACAACCAGGAATCGAAGAAGGAAAAGGAGGCCAGTCCGGCGTCCTGCGTCGAGGAAGACGCCGCTCCCGAGATCCCCGAAGAGGCCGCCCCTGCTAGGAGTCCGACCCCGACTCCGGCGTCGACTCCGGCGTCGACTCCGGTCACCGTTCAGGAGAAACCTGCGCCCGTCGTCGAGAAACCGACACCGATTGTCGAAAAGCCGGCTCCACTCGTCGAGAAACACCCCTCGGTGCCTAGCCAGGTTCCCAACAATAGGGAGTCCTCGAAGGAGTCGAGCCCGACGATCGAGGAGCCCGCCAAGACGCCGGAGATCCGTAAGGATCTCGCCAACGACGTCGTCGACCACGCGAAGGTCAAGGTGGAGATGGACATCGAGTCGGCGTTGGTCGCCCAGAAGAACGAGGAGAACTCGAAGGTGTCGACCCTTAGGGCATCCAGCGAGGAGAAGGAGAAGGAGCCCCAGGAGGAGGAGCCCGTCACCGAGCAGAGGAACGAAAACGAACCTCCGGGTCGTATCGAGGTTCCTGTTCCTAAGATTCCGCCTCTGAAATACAATTACGAGGAGGGTCAATGGAGCCCCCTTAACATGACTGGCAAGAGAACCTACAGCAGAGAGTTTCTTATGCAGCTGCAGGATGACCCGTGCACTAGAATTAAACCGCTTAACTTACCCAACTTGGACGCCGTACTCAAAGACACGCAGGTGGTGGTAAGATATGGTTTTCACGTTTGTCCCTTTACCAAACAACGTGTACCGCGAACACCGTGACAACGGTAGAATTACGGACAGGCTTGGATGCCGCTTGGCGGATTAATTTCAGTACCTTTTTATCCACAAACCTCTAATACTGGTGTATGGTAATATATTTGTCAACAGTTAAGGGGAATGAGAAAAGAATGTCATTGGTTACTAAATGATACTTAAAGTTAAGTCGCGTTTGATAATAAAAATCCTTGCGACTTAGCACAAACTTTTTATTGATTGGCAGTTTTCGGCTTACCATTTTTTTTTTCCTAGTATATATAGTTTTCCCAGAAAGATAACTTGCTTTTTAATTGATAGGTACTGAAATTAATTTCTGAAGGACAGTCGTTCAAAATCATACTTTAAAGCGGCAACAGTTTAATATCTTTGGGGAGCATTTTCCGTTTAATGGGTCAAGTTCATACGGTTCTTGTCAATTGTAGTCAGACCAATATTTGATTTCTGAGAGTTGATACTTATGGTGTAATGAAATTACGTTTGTTTTCAGGCTCGTCCCTCTATTGAGCTCAGAGCGTTCAAGGATACTAATTTAATCAGACACGACTCCCTCTTCCCCGGATTCGCAAAGTCTTCGTTAAGTGCGAAAGTGGTAAGTTCCTTTTGCTTTCCTCTCTCCAGTTTCCTAATTTCGTAGTAAGTGGTACTAATGATGATTGCATATTGAAAGTAGTGGACTGATTGGCTCTTGATGAACGATCCAGTATCTGATCTTTGACACATTTGTGATTTATTAATGATTACTGTAATTTAATAGGAAGTTCATCGAGTTCTATTTACTCTTTTTAGCCAACTGCGAACAAGAAGAGCCATTTAAAGACGACCAAGGCAACGAAACCAAATGTGATCCACGTTAGTTTACCTCTTCGAGAGGACGTTAAACTTCGGGAAACTGAAAATGCTTGGAAACCTACTAGGTTAAAAGGTGATTCCATTTCTGAGGAGCAAGCCAAAACGGAAGTCCTGTACAAAAAAGTCCGTGGCGTGTTGAATAAGCTCACTCCTCAGAAGTTTAACACGTTAGTTAACCAAGTCAGAGCTCTAGAAATCGATACTCAGGAAAGGTTACAAGGTGTAATCAACTTGATCTTCGAAAAGGTGAGATTCGTACAGTTTTTCTATCCCTACCTAATCATTATTTTCCGTTTATAAGTAAGTGTATATAAATATCGCATTGAAAATATTCGAGTCTGTACTGCGCTATAGGCACGTGTTTAGAGTGCATCTATTTGAAGAAGAGAAATGAATCTATAATTACTAATTATACCTTTTTTTTCTTTCAGGCTGTCGACGAGCCTAACTTTGCCGTAGCATATGCTTACATGTGCAAGGAACTAGGACAAATGGCAGTTTCCGACGATTCGAGCAATCAGGAAAAGTCATCTAATTTTAGGACATTAATTCTCAGTTGCTGCCAGCGTGAATTTGAAAAGAATACCGATGAAAGTGCCAAGACACAGAAACTGAAGGAAATCGATGAATGCGCGGATCCTGTAAGTTTTTTTATCTCTCTGCACATCTATACTATCTTATAACATGTAACAACTTATTTTTTTATGTAAACTTTGCTGTAAAATTAATGCAGACATGATGAATTTATCGTTTCTATTGTCACGTGTAGGAAAAGAAGAAAGAACTGCAGGTGGCACTCGAAGACTCAGAACGACGAATGAGAGTCAAATCTGTTGGTAATATTAGGTAAGTAGCTCAGTTATATCCCCAAATAAATATTTATCGCAAAAAAACATACAAGATAGGAAGCATATATTTTATTGTTTAGGTTCGTCGCGGAGCTTTACAAGCAAGGCATGCTTACGACAAACATCATGCACAGGTGTATACGCCATTTAATAAAACAGATCGACGAAGAAAGTTTAGAATGCTTGTGTAAATTACTGACTACTGCCGGCAAAGATTTAGACGCAAAATCGGTATGTGTATATATTTTTATCTAGCGATGTCGAACGTTAAAGATCGATAATTACCGATTGTTTATTGTTTTTATTTTCTAGGACGTGTCAGAATATTTCAAGCAAATGCAGGAAATCGTGGGTCGTCGGGGTTCTGGGAAAATCAGTTCGCGTGTCAAATTTATGCTTCAAGATGTGATAGACTTGAGGGCAAATAAATGGGTGCCAAGGAGAGACGACAGTCGTCCTAAAACAATAGACCAGATTCAAAAAGAAGCAGAATTAGAGAGGCTAGATACGCAATTTAATAATACGCCTCTAAATACCCCGCGAAAGGACGACCGTAACAGTGATAGAAGACGAAATCGTAAGTTTTACATTTGTACGCTTTTGTTCATTAAGAAATTAGTAAATATATATTGGACCAGAGTTTTTTATAATTGCATCGTGTGTTAATGACCTTTCTGTTCTCGAACTAAATTCATTAGTCTTTGAAGTTTCTTTAATCCATTTTAAAATACTGGACATTAAAATCATTCTGTGCCCGCAGGTGGCCCTGGCCCAATTGAAGAGGGAGGCTGGAGTCAGCCGGTTAGTAGGACACGACAAACATACTCCGTTGAAACAGCCAAACTTAAAAATAAGCCTGTGAGTAATCTTAAACTAGGGTTAAAGTTCGTCCATTACTTGGTTCGCTGGTATCTTCACATCGTACAAATTTATTTGTCATTCGATATTTTATAGCCTTCTATGGATGATTTGCAATTGGGAAGCAGAAACGCATATATGTGGGCAAAGCCGGTTTCTTCCACTGGTAACTCGAAGACGCCAACAGTAAATAAATTCGCGTGTCTTGAAAACATCTCAACCCTCGACCAAGATAAACGTGTTCCACTACAACTCTCAGGGTAGGTTTTTATTCTTTCTTGTGTATTCGCCTACAGTTCAAATGAACCGCTTTGTACTTGAAAATGAAAATTAATAGTTTCAACTTTCATTGATGTACAATCTGTAAACTAGCGATATTTATACTTATGCATACGAAATAAAATAAGCAGTGGTTTTTAACACGGACGGTTGTTCCGGTGAATACATTGTGTATGATGAAACTATAATGTCATGCCAGACTGGAGTTTCTGAATCTTCTAACATTTTCATGATTGTTCAATAATTCTGATAGTATTAATCAATACAAATGTATCAAACAATTCGAGTTAAGTATATTAACATGTTATGAATTTTGCGTTTCAGATCGAGATCGACTGGTCCCAGGGAGTATGGACGACCTGACTACAAATCATCGTATGGTACGTAATCAGTTTTCCAAGTATATCTCAACCAATCTTTTTATACTTGTAGCCATTTGATGATGATAACTATACTGTTGATAAGCACGTATATACGACGCTCCGTGATTTTTTTACCAAAAGGATACTGACCTGTTAGAAATATGAATATATTTTTCATCAAATATTAGCTTTCTCTTAGTTAAATGAGAAATATTTTTATTTGCAGATGGTAGAAGTTCTCGCAACGGTAGTCACCAAATGAGCAGTGGCCCCTCGAGTAGAGAAAGTGCTTTACTCGACAGCTCTCGAAGCCAGAGCCTGTCGATGCCGTCACCTTCCGTAAAACCTCCACCGCCAGTGGCAGCGATACCTGTTAGTAAACCTCCATTGTCCGAGGAGCAGTTTACGAAAGCGCTCAACACAATCATCGAGGGATGTCTTGCGGAGCCTAGTGTTGATGTAATTCCTATTTTTTTTTTATTCTACTTCGTAAATTCCATGTTTTACGGACCGCACGCTCCTTAGATCCGTCTCTATCATTCATGGGAGACGCTTGAGTCATTGGTGTGCTAGAATATGTAATATCTTCTTGTTGGTCATACGCCTCGACGCTCGAAAATGTAGAATTCGAATGTGCTACTTTTCCTTTACACGCCGAGTATACCAATGAGAGGACAATGCATTTTTATATCTTCTTCAAATTATATTCATAGAAACATATGAACCCAATAAAATGATCAATGTAATATATTTTTGTTTAAACAGCGCACGGTGCAATATGTACGGGAGAATTTCGACGATTCAACGATAACAAAATTAATCATCGCAGCCATCAATACGGTTTTAGAAAAGTCGTCTTTTGCCCGAGAACAAGTATCCCGACTGATGTCGCAATGCATAGCCCAGAAAATCTTGCCATTGTCGCTCTTCAGAGTTGGGTGAGTTTTTAATCGTTCACGATTGTATCATCGACTTTTTACTTGTTCACGGTGATTTAAGATATCGTTGAGTGATTGTTCGTCATATTTCTGTACGATTTATGTCAAAAATATTGAGCATGCTTTAAAATTCTCGCTCTTTGTACAATTGTATGATGATATTTTTTTACAACAAATGAATAAATACAAAATTGTATTTTTGAAGCTTTAGCCAAAAGGATACTGAATTAGCAAACTATCTGAAATATTTTTTAGACTTTGAAGAACCATGAAACCTTATTCTATATCATTTTTTCAGGTTCGGAGATGTACTAGATATGGCAGATGATCTAATTATTGATATTCCGAAGATTTGGACGTACTTTGCCGAACTCATGAGTAAGTCTTTCCCTCTGAAAATTTGTAAATTGTTACACGCTACACTGATATTTATTGTGATGAATCATTCTACACCATAGTTACATCGTGCTGGTTGTAATATAAGCTCAACAGGCCTGACCAGGAAATTTCCCTTCTTTAAAGTCTATTTTGATTAATATCCGTTTTTAATATGCGTTATTCTATTTGCCTTGCAGCCCATCTTGTGATAGAAGATACCCATCCACTAGCAGAATTGAAGACTACTGTAGCAAAGTTAAAGAGTCAAGGGAAGGCTGGAAAGATGGTGGGCACTTTGTTAGCTAAATTGGCGCAAGATAAGGGACCTCAATGGGTTAAAGAAAAGTGGGACCAAAGTGGGTTGACGTGGAGTGACCTTATCGAGAGAGAGAATGTCGATAACATTATTAAAGAGCGCGTGAGTTGTAACGCCTTTTCTTCCTTCCCGGCCAGTGACAAGCGGATATTTTAAAAGCACAATATTTCATCTTACAGAAATTGGGATTCCTGGTCGGTGACAGCAATAGTGTAGAAGGCAGCGGACAGCAACGTCAACTGAGCATGGATCAGATACATGAACACCTCAAAAATCTTCTGAACGATAGTACCTATGACGAGATCTGCAATTGGATATCCGTAAGCGCGAACAATCAATTTCTAAAACGTCATTATTTAAAAATCAAATGCGAAGAAAGTGTTTTAATGCTTTAAATGTTGACATTCACACGATAAATCCACGTCCTGACTTTCATTGTGTCGTTTTTGTTAAAGGCTAATGTGGGTGATCGAGTCAAATCTACGCAGTTCATCAAAGTTCTAACGACTGCCATTTTGGAGAAGTGTATCAGTACGTAGTTACAATTAATTAATTAATTAATTAATTACTTTGTTTTCAAATTCATCCCGAATTCTACTAATGACATTTAATGAAAATTGTTTCACAGCGTTCCATAATAAGTCGTATAAATTCGACAAGGACAAGTTCAGCAACTTGCAGACGTTGATTCAACGTTACGTCGATACGAAAGGAAACCTCGAGCTGCAATGCCTTCTAGCGGTTCAAGTCTACGACAGGAAGATCGAGCATCCGCGCGGTAAGTGTACAATCAGGCCCAGTAATTGGCGATAATTATAAAAATATTAATGTTCGTTTCGCTAACAAATGTAAGTTCACTTATAGTATTGCCTTTCACGCTTAAGAATTACACTTTAAATGATTGTACTTTTTACAATCCTTATCAATCATATCTCTCCTTTGGTGTCATATTGTAAGTTGCTTAACAGTACACTAGGGTCTGGTAAGGATTAAATTATATTCGAGCGATTAGATAAATTCTATTGAAAAGACTGTTTACTCCTTCCAACTCGAAGAAATACTTTCCCTACCATTTTTTAAATATTAAGTACATGCATAAGCAATGGCGTTTTTTTTTCCCCGTTACGTTATGTGGAAAAAAAGCGCCATTACTTATGCATCAACCCAATATATTTATCCGCAGAAGACAAGATTCTAAATTATGAAGCTCTAAATTCTAAATATCGATCTTTTAATCCTAATTGAGATTCTTTGTTAAGAGAAATTGAACGAGAATGTCGTTGGTTCACAGGCCTTCTTCTGGAGATCTTCCGCAACTTGTGGGAGGACACGGTAATTTCAACGGACGCTTTCTCGGCCTGGGAGCTGAGTCCCCTCGAGGCTGACGAGAAGGGCGTCTCCGTTAAAGCCGTCTCCGCGTTCCTGGTCTCGATGAAGGAATCGGAGGAGGTGCCCGACGAAGACACGTGAGGCTCCTTGCCTTGTTACTGGTTCTTCTACCGTCAGCCGTAAATCCCGATGGATAGCCGCCGACGTGTCGAGGCCAGGAGACGCGCGACTGGGCCTCTCCATCGTCTTCTCGGACGAGCGGCGGCTTTTCGATCGCACCAACCCGCGGTGACCTCCTCAGGAACCCACGTTAACCCGAGAACAGAAAACACGAAAAGTGGCCAAATTGAAGTTGTTTTATATATACATATTATATATATAGATATATAAAAATGGAGAACACAATGGGAAAGAGAGACCCGCGGATAAATGAATAATTACCATACAAGTGGCGGAACTTCGGTGAAAGAAAAAAAAAAATGTTACGGTGGTGTGCGGGAGTGTATGTAATATAGCCTAGGGACAACTTCGATAGGAAACTTCGACTCGAAAGGACGACGCGCGGAAGAACACACGTTACTATTAAAAAACGGACACGCAAGAATGGCCGTATTTGAGATACGCTATACATAATGAAGATAAAGATTAACTATTAATTATGATACAGAAGTAAAATGCAAGATAATTATTATATATAATTCATTAAAATGGTTTAAAGTTTAAATAAAGCAAAAAAAAAATACAAAAACTTGTGAGAGGGCGGGAGATGTGTGCATGTGCGAGAGGGAGAGAGAAAGGGAAGAAGGAAAGAGAGAGAGAGAACGACGTCGTGCTTTTTTACGTTTGATGAAATGTCTCTCTGGCTTTCGACCTTTTGGCGATCGCGGAACGGAGCACGAGATCCCAGCGAGATTTCGTGCCCCGTTGTTGATCCGCGGAGAGGTCCGTAAAAAATCGGGCCCCTCTCGCCTGCGTGGACTAAAGTTTAGATGCGCGAGAAAAACTTGCGAATTTACCACCGGCAATCCAGACTGCACTTAGCGATTGAAGTAAGAAAAATTGAGAAAACCTGGTTCTTCGTACGAAAAACGAAAAAAAGTAATTACTCTACCCGCGCAGGCGAGGCGAGACCACCGGTCATTACATAGGTCGTTAAAAGCGGAGGAAAAACTTTTTGGAAGACCTCCGAAAGAGCCGGAGAAAGAGAGAGACGATGTGCGATGTGAGTTCGATAATTCGACATGTTTATAAAGGATTCACGGATTATGGAGATCAAATGGTGTGCATACTAAGGCGCTACTATTTTTTACAAACCTAGTTATTTATAATTATCGAAATACTTTGGAAGAGAGAGAGAGAGAGAGAGAGAGAGCGAGAAAAGAGCGAATGGTACGCACGACGTCTCCGCGGGTGCGCGCGCCTGCGCCAACTAGATTTCGGCGGCGAGTTCGGCGCACTGCACTCGTCATTGAGAGATCGTCGTGCCCACGAGTTTGACCGCGTCAACGCAAATGATTAATTACCCGTGCGACTATGTCGAGACGTCGTACGCGCGCGTATCGAACATATTGTATATCTATGTAAATAGACGTCTGCACGAGTATAGCGCGGTTTCGGCCGAAATTGGAGAACGATCGCATCGTCGTGTCGACTGTCACGTCGAACGCCATTTTGCTACCGACGCGACTAACGGACGGCCCGATCGAGTCCTCGAAAAGGGGGACTATCTCGAAAGGGGAAAAAAACGAAAGGAGAGATCGTTCCGGTAGGGAGAAACGCGCGTTGGACTAACGTCGAACCAGCGAGAGAACTCGTTCACGGAGACAATGGACTAACTTTCTACGAGAAATGTATTACAAACGCGGGCCGTGTGTAGTAACCGCGCCCCCTCCGCGCGAAAGACTCTCGCCGAGGCCGACGACGCGCGTCGAACCTTTGCTACTGCCGTTGCCTTTTTTCTCGCCGCGTCGAGACTCTCGTCCCTTGTTCTCCTTGCTTTGCGCGTTCTCTTGAAACGAGGAGACTCGGGGGAAGGAATCCCGTAGACTGCATCGAGACACTCTCGAAGGGTCGGCGATACGTTCGCAGCCATAGGGCGCGCCCCGAGATATGTCAGACGGAGAAAGAAGATAGACGGTATTTAGGGAATTTGAAACGATTATAATTTATTCACGTGGGCGGTCGCGGGGAAACCCTTGTCGAACGTTTCGGACGGACGATGCGTGGCGAGATGAGGGAGTTACTGTAAATAATACGCTAGGATGTACGATTAAGCGGAAAGCGAAGTCTAGCTATACATAATTAAAGTCGACGGGACTGGTTGGGGTCCCCGCTCGGTTGCGCGGGGACGGCACTGTGCGACGCTGTTCCTCTCGCCTCTGCTGACTACATATACATATATACATATGGATACTATATATGTGCGTATATATGTATATACACACACATACAAATATATATATATAATATAAATACGAGTAATAGTAAGGAGTCACATGCAAACACACACGGACACGTACACTTCTATAATAAATCATATCTATAAAAAGAAAAAACAATAAAAAAGAACTCCATGCCTAAAGTACTGGGCGATCGTGTCTGTTGCTTGCCTGCCACTCGTAAAAGCCGTATTATTTATCATTTTACATGGCTAACTTTAATTTTTCCAAAGGAATAAAATTGGTCCCTTTCCGCGTTACAATTGCGAATTTGGGATAAAAGAAAGCTGAGCGTCGACACGACTTCGGAATTCGCCGCGGATGTCATCTGTAGCGTGATGAAAAGTGATAGTCGAGTTACTTCTGAAGTAGATTATGGTAAAACATTCGTGACTTGTTTCTTTTATATTTTCTATTACGTCTCATGATTTCATGCGCATATTTTTTTAAGCGAAAGTTTTAGGTGGACGTTTTTTTCTTTCGGATATTTTGTGCTTCACCCGTGGAAATGGAATGAATACCTATTAATTCGGGCAATGTATTTATGATGCGTGTTACACTCGCAGCAATTTTAATCCTACGTTATAATGTAAGAATAATTTAATGATACCCATATGTATTTCTGTATTATGTGTTGAAGTTCCAGAGTTTTAACCAATGTCCGCGATATGTGACTCAATTTTGGGAAGTCATCCAATGCTTATAATTGTTTTACTGCAATTCCTCGCAGCAGAACAGGTATAATCACGAGATTCAAATATTTGATTTGTCCCCCGTCCAACCGAAGTAGTAAACGAATGTTTTGATTTAATCATCTTAACATTAATTAACAACGTGCAATTTGCAAGGTATACGTATACAGATACATTCTATGTATATTGGGGTGGCTAAGAAGTTGTGCGATACTTTATATGTTCAAAATTGTGTTCTTAGTATCGCTTTGTAGTCAACTCAGTATTAATATATATAAAATTAGAGCTGTACTCCGCTTAGATTGTTCTGTACTCGATAAGGAAAAACTCGTGGAACTGGGTGAACGTGTAGATGTAAGTAGAGCTGAGATTAGTAAAACTGACTTCGAAATGACGTTATCAAAGGGTCTACAGATCCAGATGATGCAAGGAAGTCCATTAGAACAAACTACGTGTAGACGTGTGTTTTATTTGGAATGAGCATGATTAGAAGGAATTAGTTTCATCCTTGTACAACCATTTATTTCAATCGACCCATCGGTTTGCGTTGATTCGTTGGTAAATTATGTACTCGTATTTGGGTATCGTACTTTTGAAATGTTTTATAATTAGTTCGAAATGGTTCTGTCCAACTGTAGTATAATCTCCATTAAAATAATCACTGCAATCCGGATGATCTTCTGAAGTGTGCGGATGTCGTCAGAGGACCTTCCTCGGCGAATCCTGCTATTTCTTGAGGAATTATTGCGGATTCCTCGACGCCGGTACAGGGTCGACACATGCAGTCCAAAGGAGCCTTGGTGATTACCTATGACAATTAAAAGGTAAGGTATATATATACAATCATTAAACTTCGCCACATGTTACTAGAAATATATAATGTGGTTTATTTTCTGAAACTAGTAAAATCCTTTGTTACGAATGACTGGTACAATTTGTGACATTTTGCTTTGATTTGCAATGACTACACATTACTAAAAAGAAATTGTTAGTAGGAACAATCTTGGGATCGAAATAAAATAGTTAAACAAGGAAACGGTATCGAAAGATGAGTTAACACGCGTGGTCTGACTTCTTTTGTTTGTTTTAATTAGAAAGCAGTACCCATTTCCTTGTTCCTCTATTTGTTGATCGAAGTCACGTTAAGTATTGCTCGGCATACAATAGACTTCGTATAAATGGTAACAAAATGTAAATGGAATTAGTCCCTGTCATGTTTTCTATTGCTTAGAGAATTTGTTAAAAACGACATGGGATATTTTGAGGAAATAAAACATTTTTTGGTGCAGCGCTATTTCGTTGCGTTTGAAGTTTCGCGCGTAGTCCGATTCCGTTCTTCCTATTGTTAGTCTAAAGAAGGCCAATATATTCAGCACGGCCATGCATAGGGTGTCTCCCCTCCCAGTTTACCGCGAGACCATGCTATCTTCGTTACACGCGTTTCAACGGCATAAGCCCAACAAGGACAACCTTATGTGAAAGATATAATAAGTTCTTCCAGATATTCCCCTACCTCATACAAATGATGTTATGATGAGGTGCTCCGTACTTTGCTTTATATTTATAGTGACCGTGAAAGAAACATGGCCGCGTTGAATTGTATCCGAAGAGTGTTTAGTTTTTATTGAGAAGACTAATTATCGGGATTTTGTATCGGTTCACGAGTATTTTGAAGGTTCTGGAAACTGACCAGGAATTATTCAAGAGATTAGACAGACCTTGCGGAGCTTCCGTTCGCCTGGTTTTGCTTTTGGGCAGAATAGTGACACGCTGGCCTCCCTCTCGCCACTTTCTTGACAACACATACAGCTCCTCTCCATTTGCCAAATTTTTGAGCCAGACACCTGAAAAGTAGGTACCTATTCAATTTGTGAAGTCTGTCCTAATACCTGTCGTTTTTCCGGTCTAATGCGCGTTCATAGAGCCCAAGCGATTTTCGTATCACGGTTCTGTTTACACGCCAACGAATGTTTTACAGATTTTACCGAATTAAGAATGCAATGAACAAATTGATCTTTTTATATTTGATTTGGTAAGAATTCAACCGCTCACTATTAGGATTGATTTAAAAGCTCGAACTATCTTTGAAGAGCAGTGGCTTGATTTATTCAAAGTTGCTGTTCCGATGGCAGAATGTTTTATTCTCTGTGTATTTGATGTAAAGCAATAGGTTATGATTGCATTTTAAATTGCAAAAAATATAATTTGATCAGTATTCTATGTGTTCGATATAATCTGTGTAATTAATCATGTTTAGTGGACCATAGTAGCTAATGTTGAAAGTAATGAGAATTTTAGTTATTTATGTTATGCACTCACTTGAAGGTAACTGCTGCATCGTCCCGTACATGCGAAGCTTGGAATTGGTTTCGGAATACACCCCGGATATTGGAGAACGTGTATGACTGGTGTTAATTGACATTCATCTCCTCCCACGATTGCTTTTGTGGCACCAAGCAAACAGCAAACCAGGAGTCCTGCAACTGCTGTTTGGTAAGTGATTTTAAAATAATTGTATTCCACCTTTACTTAATTAACAGACACAAGCACCTGATTATGAGATGTGATATAGTTATGAAAGACAGGGTTTAAGAACTATTTACCAAAGTAACAGAAAATTATTCTATCGAGACGACTCATGATGTATACCAGCCAGTGGTGTACTGTCTTAATAGCTCAGACATGGCAAGCTTTTATACCCTCTAGGTAACCCCATTTCATCCCTTCCAAAACTCAACTCACGGTATTCAGCCACGTGTATGGGATTTGTAAAATAATAAGATGCCGATGGTAGTATAATTACAAAAATATCATTCGACACAAAAGTACACTTTTTCTACTTTCCTATAAATATACAACATTTAATAATTACATTAAAAATCATTGATCAATGAGCCTGACTTACAAATGAAATATTAAATATTATCTTATCTTCCTCTGTCTGGTAAATAATCACTAAATCTTTGCTGAAACAATACACAGTCATGGTTTGCAGAAATCTCCAATATTTTATTACAAAATGTGAAATATTTATTTAGGTTTAATATTGTTACGGACTATTGAATGAGAACCACTGCAATCCCTTCCATCATGTTCTTTGGGGCACCCTGTAGAGCAACGGGGCATAGAGATCTTGCTATTTAATGCTTTATCGATGTTCACACTTAAGGAATGCGACTTCAGAAAAAATTTACCTCTGCTCTTGTCTTGATATATTTGACTTGTTTAATATTACTCTGTTTATTTTTTTTTACATCTGGGAAGGTGTTGCATTTGAAAACATTTGTTATAATTGTACATTTTAACGAGTGGTTATATTTTTAATCTTAATAACATTGGTATAATTATAGTATGTCTTCGTGAAAGTATTAAAGTCCGAAGACTACATTTTATAAATACTTCTGCTCATGTACTTTTGCTTATGATTATGAATTATTCTTATTTGTATGTGATGTAATATAAAATGGGTATTTTGATACACATAAATTAATTACTTTTGGTTCATGTAATAGTAACTTTTGGCAAAATAATTAATAACAACCGCGCTAATTTTTATCTGATAGCAATGGCAATATAGTTGCGCATGCATATACATTAGTGGTAGTTTGCATATATTTCTATTATGAGATTCGTAATAGAAACAATTTTATAATCTGTCTAATGATAAGTATGAATTTTCTCTTGTGAAACTCATCTATTGTACGCATTTTTGTTCAATGATTTTTTAAATTAATACGAACAAAAAATTAGTTGGTTGTGATAATTTTTATTAAATTTATCAAAATAAATGTAGGATTATGGATTGTTAGCTGGGATTACTCAATGTTAGCATTTGGTAAAACACATTTTATTTCATGAACTTAATACAAGCGTAAATTGAGAATTCTATATAAATAGTCATGTTGATGTTAAAGAAATCCGTGGACACATTTACGAGTTGCATTAATTGGTGATCAATTAATTTGATGCCGAATCTCCTCATCTGGAAAAATCTCCGCACTTAAAACACCTGCATTCAGCCGGTTCTCTTAGTTTAATCTCCATAGTTCCAAATTCTTCACTCTCAAGTCTTATACCATCAGCGTTGTAACAATGAGTTAGAAGTACTAGTCGTTCCTTCAAATAGCTCTCTCGACAGCAATAGCATTCCTGCACAAAATCCAAAGTATAACAGATTTTTATTTGGACATCGTATATGCTATTACACATCATAATTTACCTTTAGAAACCCTGTAGCAGTAACGACACTAGGTTGCACCTGTGAATTACAGAATCCTTCACACTTTGTTACTGCTAAGTCACCGCTGCATGTTCTTCGCAGTATCCCTGTCTCATCGTACTCATCTGTAATTAAGAATCTTTTAATAACATTTTCAACTCAATCCTGAAGTTTAACAAGTTCTAGTGAAGCCCGCATAATTCTAATAGTTAGATAAACTTAAAGATAATTATCTTGATGTAGTTCAACTTTCTTAATGTAGTTCAGCATTTTTTAATCTGGATACCTTTAGTTATGTGTATCTCAGATTGCAATGTCTCGCAATTCTCATCGCTCAGTGTCTGCGAGATGGTATAAACTTTAGGGCACATTGCAGTGATTAATAAGAGTACAACAGATGATAACATTATTCAAAATCTAATGTCTATTGCGTTTAGCCCTGGTGAAAGTTTATTCGAAGTTGGTAGCAGAACGGCTTCGGAGGAACGAGAAACAGTGAGAGCAGAAATTGTTAAACAGTCCCTTTTATAGGTGGTTTTCCCACCATCGGTGGGTTTCCACCCATGTAACACATCGGGGTGCAGCACTCCTGCTATGATTTAATAGTGTCGCCAACCTGAGTTCACTTCCCTCTGAATTTGCGCCATGAGCTCCGCTATAGCGTCTCTAACTTACTACCACGTTGTTGCAAATGCTTTGCATTATGTGTCTAATGGATTTTTTGTGTCTTTGCGTTCTACCGGCTCCGTAGAAATAGTGTCTCTTCTCGAGACATTACACATCTGCAGGTCATAAATAAAAAAAAAAGTATAAATAGTAGCTTTGTGATGATAATCATAGTTTCATCCAATCAGTTTTTAATTTTATTGAGTTCCTTTAAAGTAGCTTAATATAACAGCAGAGGGCAATAGATAAGACAAAAAAAGTACTCTAGTATAAGAATTTAATGATCATTTCGAGTACCACCAGGACAATTTTCCTTTAAGTCATCTTGATCATCAAATGCAGTACCACACCAGATACAGTAAAAATATCTATCTCTGAGGTACTTGGTAAGAATCTCCAATTTTTCAGTGGACGGTAATGCTTCTATTTCTTCTTCTTCTTCTTCCTCTTCCGAATCAGAACTAGAATCATCTTCGTTTTTTGGCTTTTCTTTTGTTGGCCAGAACCAAAGTTCATGTGGCTCTTCCATTTTATTACATGTATCCAGTCGTTCACAGACTCTTTGACTCTTACTCAAATCGCCTTCGATCAAATGTTCAGCTTTTCTTTGGGCCATCCTTACACGAAAATCGTCCATGTTTAAATTATTTAATTTTTCATCCGGATTCCGACATTTTTTAGTCTTCTTCACTGCTTTTCCTAAACCCAACCTATTTGCTTTGACATCTACAGGAATAGGTTCTGATATTCCTGACTCGGTTTTACCTATTCCTTGACCAGGCTTGTATCCCATTTTCATTAGCATAGCAAAGCCTGCAAAAAGGAACCGAATCTTAATTTGTACATTGACATGTAATATTTTCAGTATTTGCATTAGTTCTTATAGGAAGAATTGTTTGCTATTTGTATTAATAATGAGAAAATGAAAGTAATGTTATTTCTAATGGTTGAATCTAATATATCTATATTAATTCCTCTTTCTCCATCTCCTATATACACGAAATAATGTTTTCATTACCGTGTTAACTGTCACGAAAAATTTTCATTTAAATCATCCAAATCCGGATGTCACAATATTCAATGTATTGTGGTATTTTGTTACATACAATTCTATATCATTTTTACCATAAAAGTTGAATAGTATTAAGTTACCTAAAAAGTAGAAAAATAAGAATACTAACCTTTATTATCACTTGAGATAGCTGATGATAGACCTTCTTCTCTTTTTTCTTCCTCAATCACTCTCACAGGCTTATTTTTCTCTCTCATTTGCGCCTCTAATTTTACTTTCTTCTTCATCATTTCTATTTGTCTTTTATCGGTATGGCGATGCACAAGACTAGGTGCAACACATTTTTCCATTCCTTGTAAAAACTTGTCAGACATGTAATCGTCATCATCCGACATGATTTTAGATTAAAAATTCTAAAGAAAATCAAGAAAGAATTGGTAAATTACTGGAATTCACCAACATTGGTACATACATATAAAGAAAGCAACACTTTCATATTTATTAACAAACAAGTGTCAATTATTCTTTAGAGCGCATACAATGTTAACCTCTCTGCATACTTACTTACTTTCCGTAGAAAGTAATATACTTAAATACCTGTTCTGCCCAATGTAGTTATTCTAACGCAAACATATACTAAGAATGCTTGTTTATTAATTTTCAAGCCTGTACCTTATTGTAGAAGTTTTTATACAGGTTATGTTTGTTGGTTAGATGGTTTAGAGATCTTTAGCGCTTATTTTGGCCTGATATAATTTTCTGACACCTTAACCAATTTTAAGAATATCCTGATCTTTGCTTTATTTTTGTATAGTTTGCAGTGTTATGGATGTACGATACAGGTTGTCTTCAACGATTTTTACATTATATGTTTCTCCCACTATCAGAGATGAGTTGGGAGATTGCTCACGGGCAGGGTCGCGCGATCGCATCCTGTGCTGCCCTCTGATTTCGTACGTTAGCTTTCACCGTTTTTTGCCCCCAATTTGCGGATGAAATAAATAAGGTAAGTGAAGGGTAAAGTCAAAGAGGGCGCCACGAGTGTTCTTCCTTTACCATCAAAAGCGAGCAGTCTCGGTAATAGTAGGTAAGCTACTACCGTCAACTGCCGCATGGTATTATCATCACGAGTACATGAGCCACCAACGGCGACTGGTAGATGGCACTGCGGTCGCAAGCGAGCGAGCCCCTACCAGAAATTCGTTGTTCCGCCCTTAGGGTCAAAAAACGGTAAAAGCTAACGTACGAAACCAGAGGGCGGCACAGGATGCGATTGCGTGACCCTACCCGTGAGCAATCTCTCAACTCATCTCTGCCACTATATGCTTTAACTACAATAATTGGTTCTTTGAGGAAAGCGTCGGCGCGCCTAACATTCTGTCGATTTGGCGTCTTGATTGGATGATGCCGTTGGATCTTTATTCTCATTGGTCTTGTTCCAATTCCGTAACGTTCCTCATTCCGTTTCTACTCCTTGGACATTTAAAGATGGGCGACCTCGTGGAGTGCTTTGTGAGTGAATTTTGGCACTCGGTGAAGTTTGTCGAAACTCCCAGTTGTTTACGAGAAAGGGAAATTTTTTACAGCAGATATCTTTTACAGACATTAGAAAGATCATTATCTTTCAACAATCTATGGAGTGATTGAAGTGGACGTTTATTGAACTTGTGACGTTAGTACGACATCAACTATTGAATACTTATCGTCCGAATGCATATTATGAACTGCCAGTCGAGAATAGTGCAGTGTTTTAAAAGATTTTGAAAGATCTCGTATAATTGCAAATTGTGTTATAATCAAATAATGCAATTCCTAGTTTTGTGAGGAAATTGAACATTTTCTCATTGTTTTGATTTGTGGTCTGCTTGGATATACCAACTTTTAATCATTTAAGTGTTTATATCCTTCTATTGACAATTATTAATTATCGCACGCCGTTGTAATAACTCAGTTCTTAACAGATTACTTGACTTAAACGTGCACGGTCTAAGTGCTTATGAACAGAACGTGTTATTAAGGAAGACGACTTATGAAAGTTCTGGTTGAAAATATGATTCTATATTGTCAAAGGTGATCTAAACCCAGGCAGAAGTGCGAGATCAAGAGGATTGGAGCAAATATAATAATATACATAATTAACAGGAACTGGGAGTGAAAAATTTAATTTATTTTAACAGTGTTATTTTGAAAAACATTAAAAATGTCGGGAAATAAATGCCGCAATTGCGGCTCAACGGACATAGAAACTGATCCAGCGCGTGGAGATGCCGTTTGTACTCAGTGTGGTTTTGTGCTGGAAGATCAGCTGATCGTCAGCGAAACAACATTTGAGGAAGCCCCAACGGGAAATATGATGGTTCTTGGCCAGTTTGTAGCTAGCGACAGTACTGGAGGTGCCACTGGATTTGGAGCAGCGTATCATGTTAATGGCAAGGAGTCTAGGGAAATTACTATACAAAATGCACGGAAGGGTATAACACATCTCTGTATGCAGTTACAGTTAAACCAGCATTGTATCGATACCGCTGTTAACTTCTATAAAATGGCTTTAAGTCGTCATTTAACACGAGGTAGGAAGCAAGCTCATAATCATGCTGCTTGTGTATATATTACATGTCGGACGGAAGGCACTGCTCATATGCTGATCGATATTAGCGATGTGTTACAAATTTGTGTTTATGAATTAGGACGCACATACTTAAGATTTACCCAGGCTTTGTGCATCAATATTCCATCTATGGATCCCTGCTTATACATTCTGAGATTTGCAAATAAACTCGATTTTGGAGATAAAACACATGATGTTTCAATGACGGCATTACGTGTAGTTCAACGAATGAAGCGAGATAGCATACACAGTGGCCGTAGGCCTTCTGGATTATGCGGAGCAGCATTATTAATGGCTGCTCGATTACATGAATTTAACCGTTCACCAGCTGATATTATAAAAATTGTGAAAGTACATGAATCTACATTGCGGAAAAGACTTATAGAATTTGGAGATACGCCGTCAAGTGCCTTGACCTTGGAAGAGTTCATGACAGTTGACTTAGAAGAAGAACAAGACCCACCAGCTTTCAAAGCAGCGCGTAAGAAAGATAAAGAGAGGTTACAAAAATTAGATGCCATGAGTACCGAGTTCAATGAGTTACAAAATGAAATTGATAAACAATTAGAGAAACAAAAGTCATCTAAAGGAAGACAACGAATAGATACCATTGAGGAAGAACTGGATGCTGATAGGTTTATCAAAGAGAGTAATTTGAGAGTACTCCAAGATTGCATCGACGTTGATCCAGATGACTCGGAAGAAGATGTTCCGAGCGCAGTTATTGAAGCAAGCGAAATTGTTACCGAATTAGGACCAGATGTTTCTTCTATGGGTCTGACTTCATCTATGAATGAACGGACAAATGTATCAGCAGATATGAGCGCTTCTAATTTTGAAGCACCATCGGGAGAACTAGATATTACCGACTTGGATGAAGAAGAATTAGATGGATATATTATGTCGGAGAAGGAGGCAAGGGATAAACATAACTTATGGAATAAATTGAATGCATCATATCTCGACCAGCAGAAAGAAAAGGAAGAGAAACGGCAGAAGGAGAAGGAAGAGGGAAAACCTGAAAAAAGGAAGAGACGAGCTACTGCAAGAAAGAATAAAAGCCAAGGGCCAGCAAATAGTGCGGGAGAAGCAATCGAGAAGATGTTACAAGAAAAGCGGATATCTTCAAAAATTAATTATGAAGTTTTAAAGAGTCTGAATGTTGGGATAGGTACATCAAATAATCAACAAAAATCTCAGGATTCTATTCCAACGAATCCTAAGAAACCCAATTTGGACAATTCTTTTGGTTCTACTACATTAAGTGCCTCGCAAGAACATTCCTCAGAAATGAACACAACAAAATCGTCACAACCGATAAAGAATCCAAGAATAAATGCTCAAAAATCTAAGAAAGAAGAATTTGGACTTCCGGTTACGGAACCCGTGTACGAAACGGAGGAACTTTCAGAGTCAATACGAATGGACACATCGGCCATTGCGGATGAAAACGATGATTACATTGAGGAAGAAGTTGAACCCGATCCCACAGAGATGGGAGTTGGCCAAATGTTGGGACGCCGAGCCGACGACGATGAATATGGCTATGGCTATGACGACGAAGATTACTAATGCTTGTACGATGAAATTAATTTCATCTTAGTGATACATTATATCGATTGTTTAAATACTGTATTAAGGAAGAATATATTTGTTTACCAAATTACTTAAATCTTAAATTGTATGAACCGAAAAGAACAATGTCTCAACATATTAAACAATATATACATTTTTCAATACGTTATTAAACAATATCATTAAATCGATAGAAGTACAATTTAGGTCATGAAATAGCCATTAATTTTATTTAATTGTGATACGTTCTTAGGTAACTGTTTGAATTGTAGCGATTATGTAGGGAACCTTTGAAGTATTATATTCACAGCTCATTTCCAGTTTAATCAAAGGATCGGAAATACTTTTTACGCCATGTATGAAGGTTAAACCATTGTTCCATATAAGTAACATTCTAAATAATACATCGTATATCAACTTATGTTTTTCATCTGTACTTACACTATGGCTCACAAGCATTTTCATAAGATTTTTTACTTTGATTATCATACCTATACATTATACATATTACACCGTATGACTATTGAGACAAAGAAGTAATAATGTACCATTACTTAATGAAGGTAATATTTTTATGAAATACATATAAGTGGAGAAAAAATATGAAAACTCAAAATTTATTCGATCATTCTATGTCTAATTCGCAAAGTTATATACAACTCTTGCCGGAACTACCTGAGTGTACCTTTTGAGGTCTTAACTTCCGTTTTTAACAACGCTTTGTGGTCTTACAATCCTACAAACCCAACTCTTTCGGTAAAATACAATGTTTACATATGGATTGGGGTTTCCAAGAGAGCATAGGTTAGGTACGATAAAACCAATAACATGGCCTACCCGCCTGGGTGCGTCGAGCAAATGACCGATAAACATTTCCGGCAATTTCTGGTCGGTCGACGAGCCGATCATTCCGTCCTTGCGAATCATAACTAGGGCAAGACGCGTCCTCAACGTTAGATACGAAATTTGAGCGCCATATTGCGGTCGAGAAGCAGTTCCCACTCCCGGCGGGCGCTGCGGGCGCCGCGCCTCCCGACTGCTGCGAGCGGTCGATAAACAGCGGAACGCAGAACCCGGGTCACGAGAGAGGGACCGAGGAACGGGCGTATTTTCGAGAGGCCTGCTGGGCGTCCGCGGTGCGATACTTCGTGGCCGTGTGCGGTCCGCGATCTCTCTCGGCGTGTATTTAGAATCGAGTCGTTGGGCCGATCGCCTATTCTCGGCGCAGTCTCTGGGGCGCTCCGGTGACACGTTGCGCGGACCGGCGAGCATCGGCGCCCGCTCGAAATCCGATGGAGGAGCGGCGGCATCAGCCCGCACGAGGATCGACGTGAAAGCGCCGTTCGCCGTCGCCACCGACTCGATCGAGGCGATCGGGAGTCCGTCCCGCGCGCCCCTGCGCCCCTGCGTCCCTCCGGCCGAGACAGCGAGACGAGTTTTCGGTGCCGAGGCCTGCCAGCAGGCTCGGCTCGGGTGCATCCATTGTGTCATCCGATGCCGGAAAGGATCTCGTGAAAGTGGCGAGGAGAGCCCGTCGAGCGGGCCGCCGCCGAGGGAGAGGAGGGAGAGCGACCGAGGCGGGGTCGTCTTTGCGTTAGGCGAATACGCCTAACCGTCCGGACCCGCGGAGTCGACCGACTCGTTCCTCACGACGTCGACGAGGGCCGGGTCCGGCGCCCCTCCCGACCGCGTGACAGTGCTCCAGGGGACGCGGAGAAGCGCGTCGACGAGGCGTGGGCGTAGCTGGCCGCTGGCCAGGCATGGACTCGGTGTCGAGGTGCGTGCTCCGGGTATTTGGATCGGCGAGCGAGAACGTTCGGATGACGATGTCCGCCTTGTAGCGGCGGCTCGGCTAGGCCGAAGGATCCCAGGCTTGGTTTAAAGAGGTTAACAGGTCCCAAGCACGCCCGGCTATGGTTGTAGCTAGCGGCGGGTGGACGCAATATGTCGATCACTCTCCCAATCGGAGTGAGAACGAAATGAACGCTGTCGAGGCTTCCGAGAAGGGCAAGATGACGGCCAAGGCGGTTCTGATTTGCCGCGACAACTCCCACCCGTTCATGGTGAGGACTCTGTCGTTGGAACAGCCGGTCAAGATCGGACGCTCGGTGGCCAGGGCTCGAGCGATGCAGACCAATGCCATCTTTGACTGCAAGGTTCTCTCCAGGAACCATGCACAGCTCTGGTACGATTCGGGGAAGTTCTATCTACAGGATACCAAGAGCAGCAACGGCACGTTTGTTAACAATCAGAGGCTGAGCTCGTCGGGCTTCGAGTCATCGGCGAGGGAAGTCTCCTCTGGGGATATAGTGCAATTCGGGGTGGACGTCGTGGAGAGTACAAAGAAGGTCACGCACGGTTGTATAGTAGCTACGTTAAAATTGTACCTGCCGGACGGAAAGGAAGCCAAAGCCAGTTATAGCACGACCGTGGCTTGTTCGGAGAGCAACGTCTCGTTGGAGGATCTGCATAAGCTCAATCAATTGATACAGGATGCCGCAAGACGAGAGAAATCCTTGCATTCCAAGCTGACGTATCTGCGACAGCTCGTGGAGAACGCCAAGAAGGCTACCGATTGGGCATGGACGGTTACCATCGACGAGGATCGTCTGCTGTCCAGAGTGGAGACTCTTGAAAATCAGTTAGCCGTCTGCTCCAAGCATTACACCGACGATAAACTGAGAAGCGAGATCTTGGAGCTCAGGGAAGAAAAGGATCGATATCAGAACGTTACGAAGGAGGCGCTTCTTAAGGTATTACAGGAAAAATTGGAGCTGGCACAGAGGTTAGCCGAGGCGGAGACGAGACTGGGCGAGACCGAAGAGGAATGCCAGAGCTTGCACGAGGTTGAGAGGAATGCTCAGACGGAGTTAAGGGACCTTGCTGCCAGATATACGGACTTGCAGAAGGAGCTTTACGAAAAGAACAAGGCTCTGTCGGAGAGCGAAGAAAAGGTAAGGGAGATCGAACGGAGAGCATCGGAGGAGAGAACCGCACTTCTCAACAGACTCGACAACCAGTCAGCGACCGAACAATTTCTTCAGGCTAGGCTCAGGGACTCCAGGCTCGACACTCTCTATATACGTAAGGAGATCACCGCCTTGAGGAATTATATGCAAACTCTGCAGGACATGAATTCCAAGCTGATGTCCGACGAGAACAAGGATGACGTGAACCCCATCGAGGCGATGAATGCAATTTTGGACAGATTGAAGCCGTTACCTTTTGATGACTTCGAGGGAGATTCGCAGATAGCTTATGGTCCTAGAGAGGACGAAGACAACCAGATCAACGCCCGAGACAGCGACTCTAAGGTCGTTAACTCCGATCGAGCCTTCGTCAAGAGCCACCTCGATCATTCGTCAACGGACGACGACAATCTGGCGGAGTACATCGTACCTCCCCTGTCCAGGAGGACCCTCGTCAACGGGAACGCCATCTCCGAGAACCTGGACGCCAGCGCCGAGTCCGACGCGAATTCGGAGTCGGCCGAGGATGCGTCCACCGTGGCCGATAACGACGACGACGCCAGCGAGAAGTCCGTCATCGAAGTGCGCAGGGAATCGGAATCCAGCCCGTCGAGTAAGTCGGTCACTCAGGCATCGGCACAGTCGGCGAAGCACGAGGTAAGGTTCGCCAGTGGCGTCAACGGGGAGCAACTCGAGGTGCGCTACGACCCGGTGACGGCCGAACCCACGGAAGAGTCCGACGACCCGGACTCGGCCGACCGGAGTGCCGTGGCGACTCATGGGAGGTCCCCGTCCAAGTCGAGGCTGAGCGGGCCCCAGGAGGCCCAGGGACCGCCCGACGATAACCGCGACGCCGTTTCGGAGAACGAGGCGGAGGAGGAGGCGGCCGAAGGCGAGTACGTCAAGACCCTGAAGCCGCTCCCGAGGAGCGAAAGCCTGCAGCGGAATCTGAGCACCAGGGAGTTCGCGTTGCAGGCTCTGATCGGTTCCCTGGACTCCCTGAAGGCCGACGACGAGCCCGAGTCCCAGCAGCTGGTCAGGAGGAAGCTCGAGGAGCTGCGCGACTGGCTAATTCGCGAGCCCACCGACAGTCTCATCGGCAAACTCAAGGAGCTCTACTACAGGGCCAAGAACGAGACCCAGCGGATGCAGGAGGTCAACGAGGAGCTGGTCATCCTCAAGGAGAAGTACAACACCGGCGCCGAGGAGCGGGCCGAGCTGACGAGGCGGCACGCCGCCCTCAGGGCGCAGTGCGGTGACCTCTTGAACGCGACCTACTCCGTGCCGGTACAATACGTCGCCCCGATCGCGATAGCCCTCCTTTGGATGCTGCTCGAGAAGATCTTCTAATGTCACCGGGGATTGTACATAAGTGGCCACCCGATCGGACCCCGACGCCGCTGCCTCGCGGCCTGGTGGGGCGCACTCTGGAGGTCCTTGCGACTCGTCGCTTCGATCCATTCGAAGCCAACGACACGTCGCGCCAGGGTCTTGGACTTCGGCACGGGCAGAAAAAAGGACCCAGCTTCGAATGGATCCAGGCGACTTGTCCGTTTAGTTGCGATTCCTCGCTGCAACTCGACCCGAATGTCGCTCGCGTTGTCTCGCGCGTAGTCTCGCGCGTAGTCTCGCGCGTAGATGATCTCAGGTCGTATCGCAAGGACTGGAGAAAAGGGCAGGGCTCCCTTTTTCCCTGTCCACGATGAGCGCGAGAATCTCCACCGTGAGTCTTCCCCCGTGCTGGGAGATGCGGCGAAACGGCTCGCTCGCACCGTGCGGCGTCCCGACGAGAGTACTTTGCCTGCACTTTGCGCGTCTCGGGTTTCTCAGAAGTTATGGTTACCCGAAGAGAATCGAGCACCGTTGCCCCTGTATGGTATAACATCGATGTGGTCTCTCGATCTCTGTACCTCGTGGGTGTTACGCGAAGTACGTTTTCCTGAGGGAGGTTCATATCTATTGAATGTGTTAAAGCTCTCCCCATTTTTCAAATAGGTACAGGGAAGAGATGAAACAACGTTTAAATATAGTTTAGGCGTTGTACTAACTATTTTTTAGGTACATATTGACGTAATTATTTATCATTTTACATACATGGTTCAGTTATGATATATTGTAGAGCCGAATTTTGGTGTACATTCCCGTTTGTCCTGTTTTCAAGTTGACCGATCACTCTAGAGTATTTCACCTTTGAATGAAGGACCGCGATGAGTACCCGCTCAGAAATGACCATTTTCATTGATGTCCGATAGCATTAAATCATTTTAAAACGTAATTTTATCAAAGTATGAAATAATATTGCTAGAGAAGTATTAATAGATAGCTAAAGGTTTTGAGTAATTTTGTTTCTACATAATTATCAGTGGTCATTTCTATAGCCGCATATTCTACCAACGTGTATGCAAACTATGAACTAAATAGAATTAGAACATTTTGACATATCTTATAACAAAGCATAGAACGAATTGTTTGGAAAATGGTTTTAAAGTTTAAAAACAGGCCTTTTTTTATATTTAAAATGATAATACGTACCTGAAAGTATGGTTAACACGTTTAAAGTGTATTTATATGTTGCGTTTATTTTTTTTCCCGCGTCTATGGAAAAAAATGGGTATTTTAATATCGTAAATGGATATGACCCTCCACGAGAGGGAAGGAATCCGGCGAGAGAAGTGCAAGGCTATCTCCTTCGCGGAAATATTTGCCAAAGCTATCGGGCCGTACGGTGGGAGTTGTCGTTTCGCTTCCTCCTTCCTGAGAGAGACAAACGGAGAAAGTGAGAAGAAAGAGAGCGAGAGAGAATGAGGCCGGTGTTTCTTTTTTTTTTATACGAGATTCTTCATTTCGAGGATCAACCGTGTACATAGGGTTTACATTGTATTTAGTCGTCTCTCGGGCTCGGCTTCCTGAGAGGCGAGACCGAAGGAAGGGCGTGCGTCTGGTAAATATGTAAAAATTGGATCGAGTACACATCTAAACTAGGTAGGAAGAGAGAGAAAGTGCGTTAGTCGAGAGCGTTAGACAATACCACGTGAGATGTTCAGCGCTGCCAATTTCGACGTCGACGTCGTCACAGCCCCTCGGGCCTGACGGTGCGACTTAAAATTCCGAACGTTCCATGGACGAGTTCCCTTTATTAACTTATCTCATCTGTCCGTTTCTTTGACTGTACAGGCGTGGATTGCTAGTCGCTCGTAATTTATCATTGGTAGCTGAAACAGTGGGACAAACGTGAACCATGGCGCGGGCTCCGCGTCGTGGACCGAAGAGGGAATTTTCGAATATAATTATTTCAATCGAGATAACGTAATCTATAGGGGACGGTTCTTTAAATCAAGATGCCAATAGTAAGCTATAACTTGTACTTGGAATAACTTTACCTCTAGCACTTCCACCCGAGTTTTAGAGGGATATATCTCGAAATTTATACTAAACCATTTTACTTAGCTGTAGAATATTACTTCCTTATAATATTCCACGTATACTTTCTCGATATTTTCTGAAATTCATTTGGAAGATTCACGCTCCACGGTGAATAAAAGCTAGTTGATTAAAAATAAGATATCACTTAAAGAGATATAATCGCTTAATTTTTTATCCGTGAAACGGTACGTTTACTTCTTTCTTTCTACTTTTATTTTTTAACTCTGATGGTTTGTGCTACGGCGGCCTTTAACCAAGCAATAGTGCCCCATTTTCTCGAATTAAGTACGAGTCCGTTTCTTTGAGCACTTCAATTAACCAGTTAACTGCGTACGACGTGTATACACGTCGGTAACCCGTAACGTTACAGTAAATTCCGCAGTTAACAGGTTAAGGGGATGTGAAAGTGGCATTTAAAAAGTCAGTCGTTCATGAAATTTTTCTCCGAACTGGGTGCACCGTATCGTTTCAAACTTCACCACATGAATAAGGCGACCCTAAGGTAGGTCCTAAAACTCGCGAAATTTCATTTTGCATAACAAATTTTGAACATTTCTATATATAAATTAAAAGAAAAAAAAAAAAAAAATGAGAAAAATTTGAAGCTTCATGAGTTTCAGGATCTTCCTTATATCTTCCATATTTACATTGTAAAGTTTTAATCAATTCCGTATATCCAGTTTGGAGAAGAGTTTCGCGAATGGGAACTCTATCGCCAATTTCCATCGACATCATCTCAAGACTCCCGGATATACAAGATCGTTACTGGTCCGTGGCGTTGATATTCTAACAACCTATGTGCAGTTGGCAGCTAGCAGTCCATACTTTTATAGTCAAAGGTTTGATCATCTCGGGCCGATCGCAGGCCTCGAAGCGTCTTCGTTAACTTCGCGGACCGAAAAGCCAAATCGCGGAAGGAAATTCGACTCCCTCAGCTTTGCAGGGCTCGGCTGGAATTTTTATCGGGTTCTGCGATGATTTTGGCTATACTTACAACTGTTAGTCGAGGCCGGCGAATTTTTGGGCGCGACGCCGAAGTCGTCCTTTCGCGCTTCACCAGTTCAGGAAAGATCGCGAGCGATCGAACAAACGGATCTGCCGTCGAGTGAGTGTCTCCTTAACCACCTCGGTACGGCGCTCATCGGCCGATGGGTTCATATCACGGCCGTCGACTAAAGTCGACGCTTGGCTGTGTACCTTCATATCACGGCCGTCGACTATAGTCGACGCTCGGCTGTGCGCGTTCATATCACGGCCGTCGACTATAGTCGACGCTCGGCTGTGTGCGTTCATCTGTGGCTGTCGACTAAAGTCGACGCTCGGCTGTGTACGTTCATCTGTGACTGTCGACTATAGTCGACGTTCGTACCGAAGTGGTTCACCGGCCTCGGGGGCATTTCATCGAGCCGAGGAATTATTTCGATGGTTTAAGGGGAATGCCGTCAATTTTCCGGGATTGATGTCCTGCCGCGTTAGTACGCGCTCCTGACGGGGCCGATTTAGGAAACGCTCGCTAGGAATAGCTTGAATTTTCTCCGGGTTCGAGGAGTGTCCTTTTAACGGAAAACTGGGAAACCTTAGCGATCGAATCACGGCAGGAGACGATCATCAGGTGGGTTGTGAGGATTTAAGGTACCCGTGAATGATACCGGTTTTATTTTTTTTTCACTGTTTTTCTTTCTTTTTTCCTAATTTTTGTATTTTATCTACGTTTCGGTCGTCTTCGGGCGCGGTTCCATCCACGAGGTTTGTCGTTATCCGTTTGTTGGGATTTTTAACGAGGAGATTGTTACGGCGAGGAAACGGGTATTGAGCAATATTGTGGAGCGCATGTTTTTGCGGCCCCGACGATGACCCGTCGTGCCGTAATTATTGTATTATTGTATAGTTTGACTTGTTAATGACCGAGAGTTACCGACGAGCTCGACTCTCGGCGCTTGCGTTATCCGTTACTGGCACGTGGCCAGGGAAAAGTAGATTTTCTTTATTTTGTTTCTTCTTAACCTTAACCTCGGGGGATATTTTTCAATGCGGGAAGAAATCTCCCGGTGACTGAACTTCGCGTTAACTCGGATTTAGGAGCGTCGTTGACGACCGTTAAGTCTTCGAATTAACGAGCCGAAGCTCGAGCGTTAGTTACACGTAACTTTGCATTGAAAGCGTATAAACCACGGAACGGGGAATAGGAAATGAAAAGCATTAAAGATTAGCGCTGAGGAAATTTCCAGAGTCTCTTGGACAGAGTAAAAGTGGTGGAAATAAATGAAATTGTGAGCTCGGATAAGTCGATGGTCGTGGTCATGTCATTCCACTTTGAATTTTCAGATGTTAAGGGAAGTACGATCGATTGTACGAACGGAAGGGATCGCGATAAACCTTGCAAAGAAATTTAGACGAAGTTCAGCATTTGGGAGGATTCTCTTGACGCGTGCATAATGTATACTTATTGAAATCGGAATCTCTCAGTTCCTTCATAGACCGTGATAATCAATTTTCGTCTTTCGCGAGCTGATCTACTCTCCTCTTTGTTTCGCGTTTACAGTCTTCCATTTGCAAAGTTGCTTCGCGAAGGGGGAACGACGTCTTTCCAATTATCACAGCTTGATATCTCTTGAGCTTGAGCTGACCTTAAAGAGCTTAATGAAATTTTGAAAGCTTTTCTCACGTCCAATCCATTGGCCTACGCGGGAAGTTCGACCTTTCGAGGGCCTCTTGATATATGAATTTTTATCTAACGATCAATTGTAAACTAACGCACAGTAGGGAAATCGTCGATGTACATAATCAAGGGACGCTGCAGCGTCTCGTCTTTCCTTTACACCGAGGCGTTTTCCTGTCTTTTTTTTTTTCCACGAGATGATCTCTAGAATAACGTTTTTTCAACTGAAATTGCGATCACCTTTTCGCTCTTACGAAATCATGCACGAGGTCAGTTCAGGGTACTTAAGCGGACTAATGGGCCCACTCGAGGCTGTCGTTTTAAATTACGCTCACACCGTACCGGCCGTACTAACTTCTCCATCCCAACGTCAAATTCAATGTTCTTTTCCGCGGTCGAAATTCCCGGCAAGTAAGCTAAGATAAGATTTAACCCTTAGCGCTCCGTTGGCTCCGGTACGGAGCCATTCGTCACGGCGTTTCGTAACTCACGGATCGTTAAGGGCTGAGGATATCCAATAGGGTCCAAAAAAATCTGCGCTCGTCTGCGAGAGCTTTCGGAACATTTGCCCCTGTTTCTTTTTCTTTGTCTCTCGAGAGAATCCGGAAAGATACTGCCAACCCGTTCACCTCAGCCACGACTACCTACCATCTAGTGAGATGTCATTGTAAATGGAATCGGCGCCGACACTTATTATTCCGAGGCGACGAGATTCGCCCTGGGGCGGTGAAGAAAAAAAAAAGGGGAGGAATCGAGAGATCTACGTTTAGTCGATAACTCTTTGTCCCCGTTGTCGATTGTTCTCTGAACAAGCGTCGCGTCCAATTGGGAGGATCGGCATTTCGGCACACACACATACCCACACGTAGTTCGAGAGAAAAAGGGCCTAGAGACACCGACAGTCTTCTCCTCCTTTTCGTTTAGGAACTAATTGACACACCGTACTCGGACTTTTCTATGCCGCAATTGCTTTTTTATACGGAAGTACGAGGCGAGCGAGGAGTCTTTTTTAGCGCGGTAGAGCGGCCCGCGAGAGTGCCATCGCCGATCGATCGATCGATCGATTTCCTGCCGCGTCCGGTGATAACGCGCCCGGAGATAGCGCTCTCTTCGGTGGCCTCTCCTCTCGGGAGAGTCCCCAGAGCGAAAGTGTCAGAGTTATCGTCGCTAAATTGAATCTGTACATAATATCGTTGATATAATCTTACTACCTATGTAGCAGTCATTATACAAAAAGAAATAAAAATTAACTTAATTAATTAATGGCCGAGTATCTTGTCGTTCCGTTCCGGCGGTTACCTGTGGGCGCGGTGCCTGGAAAGGGTCCAGTCGACTCCCCGGGGTTTCCTTCGGGGAAAAATTAGCCCTCTTTGTTACCCGGCTCTCGCGGGGGCTTATTAACCAATAAAGAGACTCACGAGCCTCGGGAAAGTCCGGCTTTGCGGGAATGGGGGACTCCGAAAGGAGGGAAATAATGCATTGTTCATTTAATAGTGGGAGCACCTTGAAATGGGTCATGGGAAAAGTGGAACGAGGGAGATGGGTTTCAGTGGTTTTACCTGACGACAGGCTGCCGCGTTTCTGCACCTTTCGCTCGGTACGTGGTTTACTGCTTCGTACGGAGGATGGCTGCTGCGTTTGCGTTAGGGAACTCCGAAAGTTTAAGGTCTGCACTAAAACCTCACTTTTAGCGTTAAAAAACGTCTTTTAGCTATTTAAAGATTGCAGATAAAAGACGTCTTTTAACGTTAAATATCAGGTACGAGTACGTGTCTAAATGATTTTCTTTTAATGTTGAATTTTTTCAATGGTTGAGAAGAATGAAAGTTGCCGTGGTTTTGAATTTTTTTGTTCAATTAGTGGTTTACCGCTTTGTACCGACGACGGCGGCTGCATTTACATTAGGGAACTCCGAAAGTTTAAGGTCCGTACTTAAAGCCCACTTTTAGCGTTAAAAGATGACTTATCTGTAGTCTTTAAATGCCTAAAAGACGTCTCTTGATGTTGGAAATGAAGTATCAGAACAAGTCTAAATGCTTTTCTTTTAATGTTAAAATTTTCCAATTTTCACGAATCATGATCATGCATGTTTTAACGGTATTCACGAACGTAATTACACGGTACAGGTGGCGTATCTTGAGATGCGAGTTTTCAAATGTCTCGCAACAGCCTTTACCTTCGCGTACCAATGTCTAATGACAGAACTTGGGCTCGGTTAAATAAGTTACGAGGCATTCTCCACGAATGTACATCGCGTTAATGAACGATGCAGTCGAGGAATACGTGGCATGGTTGCATCCGCCCGACACTTGCCAGTCAACAACACTTCCCACTTAATAACAATTATTCCGTTATTAATTCGTCAGAGTTGCCCTCTAATGTGACAAAAGTTATTCTCAGGCAACCGTGCGACCTTTATATCAACCCCTTAAGGTGATAGGGTAATTGCGTCTAAGAGATCTCGTTTATGAAAACTTTGTTCCAATTCAGCGTATCGAATCGTTCGAAATTTTATCACATTAACGCAGACCCTTAAAAAGGTCCTCACCCATGGAATTTCATTTTTGTAAAGAATTTAAAAAAAGTTTATACAAAAAATTTCTAAAATACGAACCGAACCTAGGGCCTGCATAATTACGTGGTAAGATTTTTAACGCTTTGGTACACTTAGTTTGGAGATAAATCATAAATGATATCCCTCAGTCGACATTTTCATAACACCTTAATGTTTGCATTATGCGAGTTGGGTTCGTAGTACGGAATTCGGGTCAATCTTGAAAATTACAAGGTAGACTCGTGGTGGGGATTATGGACCGAACGTGAAAATCCTGAGTTGGACTCGTAATTACAAAAGTCAAAGGTGAACCCAAGTTCCTTGGTCCTAGTTCCTCCCATTTTTTCCTTCTTTTGGTCCCGCGCGATGGCAAACCAATTCTTACGGCTTTATAAGGTGAAATTGTAATCGTGGATTTCATTAAAATGACATTTCAACACAATGAAGGTACTTCTTCACAGAGATTACGGTTCTCTAGGGGAGAAAAAAAAAGTCCTGATATACCTCAGTTAATTTGACCTTAAAATCCTACACAAATTTTGAGTCTAGCTTAATGCTTATTGCTTCTAAAAGGATAATTGACATATATTTCCTTTCAATTTCAGGGCTTTTTCGGGGCAACTTGGATCATTTCTTGGATCTAACCATGAGTCGATGAGTATTCGTCCGAGGAACGTATCCTAAAGGAAAAATCGTATCGACATGGCGGGCGGTAACAACGTCAACAACGTCGGCAACAATACCGGAAACGGAGACACCTCGCCCAGTCGAGTCTGCCGGGACTTCCTGAGGAAAGTCTGCCACCGGGGGAAGAGGTGCAAGTACCTCCACGAGAGGTGCGAAGACGACCCGGCCGAGGAGTACACCTTCTGCCACGACTTCCAGAACGGCATTTGCAACTGGCCTGGATGCCGGTTCTTGCACTGCACCGAGAGCGAGGAGAAGAGATTCAGGGCCACCGGCGAGTTGCCCCAGCACGTTCTGGACAGTCTTAAAGCCAATTGCGACAGGCTGGAGTATCCCATCTGCAAGGACTTCGTAAAGGGAAGTTGTCAGCGAGTTAACTGCAAGTACCGACATTACAAGAAGGAGGATCCTCAGCCCAATGCCCTGCCGCCCCCGCACCCCAGTGCTCCCAGGGCGCAGCACAATTTCAACGGCAACGGCAACGACGATGCGCGCAGATTCGAGGAGGACAGGAAGTGAGTATCGCCGCGACGCTGATTAGGTGAAGATGAGTCCAGACTGTGGACCGCTTTAGACAGTGGATTCATTCTTCTGCGCACTGAGAAAAGATGTTTTCTAACGTGGTACATCCACCGTCGAGAGTTTGGTATTAAATTGTTCGGAAAGTTGTTGCGATCTTTGCTGTTCAAGTTTTGGATAGATGAATATGAAAATAGCCCGTCATTTGTATTTGTTACTAAATTTTACGTTATGGTACTTTCAAATAGTGTAACACGAAATGTGGGATAGATTTTTCTACTTAAATCGTTTCAATACTTCTGGGCACATCTGACCTTGTTTTCAAATGAAGTTCGTTTTCCTTTAGGTTCATCTTATGGACCTGTTTAAAGCGTAGACTTTGCTCTACATTTTGATAATAATTGTGCTTTAAATGTACATTTTTTATTTTATTTCCGTTGCGTAAATGCCGCAGGTCGTTTAGAACGATTTGATCTTCAAGGCTCTCGTCTCCGCTATTTTTGAAACTATCATTGATTTTATGCATCCGTCAGCGGTTCCTGGAGCAGATGCATTGCGGATATTACGAGCCACAATAGTTGCTTTTTCGTTCATTTTCAACTCGTACAAGAGAATATCCCGAATTTACTTCTTTCCCATCGTCAGTTAAATTGTCTAAATGAAAGAAATTAATATCTAAAACACAATTATTGTTATCAAAATGTAGGGCGAAATCTGCAGGCTACAAATGGTACATAATATGGATCTAAAGGAAGAACAACTTCATTTGAAAACAAAGCGTCAAATCTTAAACAGCAAAAACCGCAATAAATTCCTGGACAACCTAACAAAATGCATATAGTAATTGACATTTTATATAAAGTCGTATGAGTTTCAGGCAATAAACTATAGCAGGAATGCTTTCAAAAAAGGAAGACGCGCAGGAATGGCATTGTTTGGATTCCTCTATAGTACATTTGTTTTTGAATTCACCGAATATCTTTTAAAGCTACGTATGCAGTGCCGTGTGATTTTCTTCGATGAAAACCTTCGAGTAGAGGTAGACTTTTCTTGACATGATCGCAATTTTTATGATTATGTTATTTACTGCGAGCGATTTGTATGCATTTGTTTAGAAGTGAACTAGTGGATAGGTCGATGGGAGTCCGATGTTTTAGGATTTTTTATCGGCCAGTCTACCGAGAGTTAATCGTTGGTTCTTCGAAATCGTACACTTTAGTTTCAATTATCGCTTCGTCCGGCCTTGTATCTGGGTCTAGTACCACACTAAAAAAAGAACCTCGCCCAAATAAACCGATTCCCCTGGTCCGCTTAAACGATTTCGCTTTCGCCGCTAGCCAGAGAGCATGTTTGCGACCAGACAGAAAAATCGACAGAGTTCAATTTCTGACCGAATTGCAAAATTTACGTAGAATACGTCGTTGGGACGTTTTCATATTTTTAAATGCATTTGTACTTGTTTGAGCGGTTTTCCAGTTTGTAGAGGTTTTATGCAATTGTTCTACGAAAGATATTCACTTTTTAATTGTTGGGCAATAATTGTAAGATGGTATAAAGTACATCCGAAAGTGACTACATGAAAAATAGGGCCAAATTACAAGGGGACACCGTTTAGTCGGTTTTCAACTTTTTTCAAATTTATCTTCTTTAGTTCATATATCTTTTATTTTTTCGCTGTCATTTGACAAGCAATAATCAATGAGTATGTATGTGACATTTTTTCGTCACGTTGCCGAGGGCGAAGTCGAGACAGAAAACCTTTGCTAAAGACGTGCTTTACGACAAAAGTTTTCGAAAGTCTCTTACATTTTCTTTTTTCAATTATCTAGTAAGTTGTTAACTACCCAACGCTTATTCCTATTCGATCGTGCGACATGAATTTTAAAAGATATGAATTATTCGTGACGCCGACCACGTGGAAAATCAAAATAGAGTTTGAGATAGCATTTTGTCAATGTTGAAAATGGTTTTTAAATTTTCTTTTTCGACGTAGCCGGACATTCTTCCTCTTTTGAATGACATATTTATGCAGTACGATTACGCAAGCGACAATCAGCTAGGCACGTGCGTGACAAATTTTCCTCACGTCCGTTTTGTACCTTTCTGAAAGACGTATCCTATGTCAGAACTAAGCGCAGGTTATCCCTTGACAAAAGGTTAATCTTGCGTTTATTGCCCGGTAATCTCGGTCATTTACGTAATCGGGAAATTAAATCGAGTATTAGCGGCCACGCACCAGCAAACGCTTCGACTTACTTCGGCCACGGTCTATTGACCGAAAAGAACGGCCACTACTTTTCCTGGACAATCCTTGGCCGTAAAGCAATGAATTCGCGCTTTTATCCGTCCCTCCGGGACGACTCGATGATTAACGAGCGATCAAACGTTAAGCTGGGAAGTGCTCTTTGTCACGTTCAGCTTCCCCCGGTACAAATCGTTCGCCTGTTATACTCTTTGCATCGGCGGATACGCTCTTTCGCGGTCAAACGATAGCTTCCTTCGTGCATGTGCATACAAATCTCATCCGGAGTACGAAAGGTCGTAGCTGCGCTCTATAAAGCTAGGTTTACGTGACACGATCGAGGAACTATTTCATGAGTCACATCTGCCAGTATTACTTTGTCGACTGTTCATGCATTAGCTCAAGCGCAATTCAACTTTTACTGCGTTTCGAAAGTTCTTTGTCGTACAAAAATTCAACGAAAATTGGCAGACTTTGATAATAAACATGTTTCTTAAGGGGATATGAAAGTGGCATCCGAAGAGTCAATCGTTTATGAAACTTTTCTCCGAAATCAGTGTGCTGAATTGTTTTAAACTTTACAATATAAATTTGGAGGGTATGGAGGGTACACTCGTGAAATTTCATGAGTTTCAAGACCTTCCTTATAGCCTCCACGTTCACGTTGTCAAGTTTGAATCGATTCAGTACATCCAGTTTGGAGAAAAGTTTTATAAATGTTTTGATATCTATATATAATATGTCCTTTTCATATCACCTTAATAGGATATTCCGCGTTAAATGACGTCGTCTTGTCTTTCTTCGTGCTTGAATATGCAAACTTCACAAGAGGTACAATAATGTAAGTTTTGCGGCCTTCGTAGCTGATTTCATGCGATATAATTACAGCTGGGTGGTAAATCATTATCCTCATAAGGAAGTAAGATTCGATATTTCCAACCTAGCTTTATACGTTGTATGATCGAGGAATTATTTTACGAGCCAGGCCTGCGGATCATTTTGTTACTTCTCCGCGAACTGATGAAAGTATAATTCAACTTCTACGTTTCACCGTACTTACTTGCTCTAAAGAATTCTGCGAATGGATAGCATCTTATTACAGGGACAACGTAGATCTTGTTAATGCATTTAAATTTCAAAGGAAAATATTCCGTCTCGGATAGACTCGGAATCAGGGTAGAAATCTCATCCGGAGTAGAAACAGTCGCATTTGCGGTCAGTGTAGCGAGTTTAATATGACTCGATCTAGAAATTATTCCCTGAGTCACGACGGCGGGTTATTTAATTGTTTATCCATGAACCAACTCGAATAGAATTGAAGTTCCACAACGTTTTAAGGCACTTATTCACATCAGAAGATTCCACGAATTGATAGATTTCCACCACAAGGATATAAACTCGTTTTCTCGTTAATATAATTAATTCCCTAACATGACTATCCCGTGTCAGGCGACTCGGTTTCCTAAGAAACGATTCTTTCATTTTTTACTTCCATGAAGCGTTCGGCACCTTGCGGCATTTCTTAGATCAGCATTTCAGCTCGTTCTAAGGCCGATTCAGATATATCCGTAAAGTGTTCGTGACGTACCCGCGCACTGGTGAAAATAACATCTCCTTAGATTTATATCGAGGTATTTATATATTTAACTATCCGTGGTAATACGCAAGTAATACGGAAATGTACGAATACCCTAGTATAAACATAATAAGACGTTATTTTCATCAGTGCACGGACACGTTACGGATTCTTAACCGACGATTGAACCGCATTTTTCTATCATATATTTTTGTATCCAGGCTGATATGGAACTAATTCGAAAATGTACAAATACTCCAATGTTAATCTAGGGAGACGTTATTTCTATCAGTGCACGGACACGTCACGAATACGGTACGGACGTCTGAATCGCCCTTTAAACAGTGGAATAATCGAACGAGCCACGCAACATTCACGCTGGAAATGTGCAGCTCGATGATCTTTCGCCACGTCGGGTTGACTAGTCCCGAGAAGCTGGCGTGTATCCCTCTCATATTAATAGTTAATATTTATTTTGCAATAATATCTCGCCGTGCGTCCGCTCGCGCGGGGCACAAGAGCCTGTAGGTGAAATGCGCTTTCGAAAGCGAGATTTCCGGTTTCGCACGTTGGGGTTCTTCTATTTATTTATATTGGGCCGACGTGTTTTGCATAGAAGACGTGGGCGCGAATCGCGCGGCATGGCATCGGGTCGGACCAAGCGACATTGGGTGCCTCGGAATGCACGTTGCACAGAGAGCTAAAAGAATACCCCGGGTGCGCAACACTCTTGCGCGTCAATTTCGTCTATAAGCAACGTTCTCGTTAAAGGCTTACGTAAAAGGACGGCGACAGGCGCGAATTGCGATTTGCAAGTGGCGCACGTACGATCTACGCACGAGCGCCTCGTTCCTTAAGGCCTGATTGAGACGAGGATGCTTCCTTTAGCGGACTCGGTCTTCCTCGTCGAGAATCGAAAACTTGCATTGCCTCGTTGCGTTTGGCCGCACGTCCGAGATCGCCGGTGGCTAATTGCATTCTCCGAATTGTCCATGCTGGAATGCTTTAAGGTGATACGAAAGTGCCAAGTGAAGGGTCAGCGTTCATGAGACTACTCCGACCAGGGTGTATGGAATTGTTTGAAATTTTATCACGTTCATACGAACGCTCTAATGAGGGTCCTGACACCCATGAAATTTGAGTTTTCAGAAAAAGAAATGTTTAGAATGCTTATAAACAACTTTAACAAAAGGAATCTCTTGGGCGTCTGGATCTTCGTTAGAGCCTTCGTATGGTCAATTTTCAAAGGATTCGGTACACCCACTTCGGGGAATAGTTTCATTATCGAGACACCATTTTCATATCACTTTAAGATAATGCAAACAGCCGATTATTGTCGTCCAGCAGACGTAGTTATCGTCAAATCCTAGCTCTTGTACGTCATTCGAAAGATGGATTACTTAGGCTTTTCACGTTCCGTGGATTTAAGATACCGCTTTGTCTTATATATGTATAATGGGCAGCGACTAAATGCGTTCTCTGAATGCTCAACATACGTTCGGGGTATTTTAAAACCGTGCAAAAGGTCAGTTGTTTCCATCCAGGACACTCGGCTGTACGTGGATCTTATAAAGAAGTTTCCGGTCTCATCCCGAAGATGAAGAGTAAACCTTCGCGTTCAACGTATCAATGATTTGAGAGGGCAATTGAGAGTCACGTATCAAGTCCGGCTCTAATCAGAGTCGAAACTAGCCTGCCAAACTTATCCAGCGGAGAGGTCGCCGCCCGACCTAGTTTAAAGGAGGTCGATTTAGAAGGAAGGAAACAGTAATATAACTCCTCCTTTTCACCTCTCGTGTGCTCCGTCGGGTGAATCTATTTAACGAACCGCCTGAAAGACTCGGCGGAGCAGGCCGTCGGCCTGAAAAGGCAGAAAAGGTGCCTCGAAGAGAGCGCGGAAGATTCCTGGAAGGTTTTCTCATGGTCGCGGGATGTAATCACGGATTGCGTCTTTGCGACCTTAAGGTCTACGTGGGCCCATATGGGGTGAGCTCGGTTCCACGAGGGGAAGGAACGGTTCGCTTCTGCCGACGCCGAACGAGAGGTGGTTCTTTTCTTTCGGGTGGGTCGGTCGTGCCGAGCAGAAGACTAGAGCTGGCTCGCGCGTATAAATAGACGGGGCCATTACATAAGCCGTTGCACCGGCCGGCCGGAGTTATGGAGATGAATGCTTATTACAGCCATCCAGATGAGTCATTTGCCGGTGGACGGACGAGACCCGGAATGAGCCTCGTCCGCGAAACCTTCCCCAAAGGACGGGTTTCTCGCTGCCCTCCGTACGGTTGTACAAATCGACTAAGTAAAGGACTTTTTCGTTCGCAGCTATCACTGGACGGTGGAGGATCAGCATCATGTCGTGGCCAACAACGGCTTCGGGGCCTCGACCCATCCGGACTACATCGGGCCCCCGGAGGCCAAGAGGAGGCTCGTCTCCAGCGAGGCCGTCGTGCACTTCGAGGCCTCTCCCATCGTGGGCCAACAACACGCGGCTCAACCCATCACCCCGAGCTACTACTACCCAGTCATTCCAAGGAACGAGGCCAGGGCGATCGTCCTCGAGGACGAAAATGCGCTCCTCAGGAAGAAGATCGAGGAGCTGAAGAAACAGGTGTGCAGGCGCGCTTCTCCCTTTATTCGCTCGGTATCTCGTTGAAGGAAACCTCAGGATACCGTAAGGTTTTCCGAGATCCTCTGGACAGATGATCTTGTTAAGGAGATACGAAAGTGGCTCCTGAGGGGTATGTCGTTTCTGAGACTTTTCTCCGAATTGGGTGTATCGAATTGTATGCAATTTTTCCACGTGAGTATGGAGGCTCTAAGAAAGGTTCTGACACCCGTGACATTCATTTTTTCAATGTTTGAATAAACAAATTTGAAAAACATTAAATTTCACGGGGGGTCAGAACCTTCCTCAGCGCCTTCATATTCACGTGGTCAAATTTCAAACGATTCGGTACATTAATTTCGAATAAAAGTTTCATAAATGAGGCCTCTCGGACGTAATCTTCGTATCAGTTTAAGGAAGCGGAAGTTGTTTCAAATGTTAGAGAACTGATATCGTTGTAAAATGTCCGAAATAGTTGTTAATTAGAATTTTAACGAAGCTTCTGGGAACGCAGATACTTCTGAATAGAGGTTTCGAGTGAGCTCATGCGTGTCTATGGATAAATATTAGAAATTAATACGTGAGAAATCTTTCCAGGGAAATTCCCTGCAACGATAACTATTCTCTATGATAGTTATCAGTCGAATGGAACGATATAAGAATGAATTTGTCCGAGACCGATTCCGAGTTTTTGAATTTGCCTTCAGGTGAGCGATTTGACGGCAACGAATGAGTTTCTGCTGGACCAGAACGCCCAGCTCAGGATGTCCGGGAAACGGACGGCCAATGTGACCGCGGTGACGGTGCCGGCTGTGACCATAACGAACACGGTGCCGCCATCGCAGGCGCCGACTCCCCAGCAGATGGTGAACGCCGCTGTGGCCGCTGGCACTCTAAGGACGGTCACGGCGAGCGTGGCCACGGTCCCGGTGAGCATAGCCACGGTAGCCCCGGTTTCCATAGCCGCGGTGTCCATGGCCCCGGTCTCGATACCGCCGTCCATCGTCACCATGGCTCAGCAGACCATCACAATGAGCGGCTCTGGTCCCCAGCCTACGAACCAACAACCACCGAACTCCCAGCAGCCGGCCAGCATACCCCTTTCAATCTCTGCAGCGGCTGCGCCGTTGGTTTCCTATCCCATCATGACCCAGGAACTGAGGCCCGTCCTTCAATAGGTCATCTCGTTGAACGGTTCTCCGCCGACGAATCACCAGCCCGTCGACATACGTCTGTCTATCTGTGCGGCGAGGACGACGTTGGTCTCCTATCCCATCGTGACCCAGAGACTGAGGTCCGTTCTTCGATAGACCATTTCTGAACGACTTTTAACGGACGAGTCGATATAAGTCAGTCAAACTTAGCGGCGGATACCGGTCTCATATCCTATCAGGGTTCGGCAGAGAAGCCCGTTTCACGAACGGTTTTTGCCCGTCAACGAGTCACTGGCTCGTTGATGTACGTCTATCGATCTTAGGACTGAACACCTTGCTGGTCTTCCTAACTTCATCATGGCTAGGAACGAGTCACTGATCTCTTATGGCATTATGGATCAGCAGTCGAAGCTTGTTCTGCAAGAGGTCATCTCTTTGGACGATTCCCGGATGACGAGGCACAGACCATCGGTATACGACTCTCGATGGCGGCAACGGACACAACATTGATGCGTTATTTTATTATGATCCGGGAACCGTGAGACATGGATAGTAACATAACAATTTTGCGTTTGCTCGGTAATGCAAAAGCTGAAAGGCTTACTTTCTAGGGTCGATGCGATTACTATCGTAAGGGGTTTCTTCTCTTGACCAACGAGTCACATGGTTGTTAACGTGCGGTTCTCTATTCTACTTGCTACCGCTCACTCGGTATTGTATATTTTATTACGATCAAAGAAAGGAAGCTCGCGCATTGACTTATTGCTGGAAACGCTATAGTCCACGTAAGCCGAATTAACTACAGCCTTGTAATGTTACTGTAGATACTGTCGGTAAATGCATCGCTGATCTCATCCATTATGACCTGAAAATTTGAAACATTTACTGGCCGATTTCTCAGAATTCTAAATGTAAGAGGACGTGGAATTGTTGTCCTAAGCCGTGGACGTTAATGAGCCGTCCTGAGGGGTTTCTAATGGGTATACTGCTCTCTGGGAAAGTACAGTCGGCTTTACATAAAAATTTATGTAGGATGCAAAGGACTATGTGACTCTTTTTTCTAGACCGTGGACACATCTTGCCATAAGAGCAACCCAAGAGAAGCCGAGTGGGACATGATGGCCGGAAATACTTTAGGGCTAATTATCAAAACGAGAGGCTAGTGATAACAACCTCTTAGGCACGTTAGAAGCCGACACAATTTGTACAGAACTATGTTAAAGGTCGTCGTTGGTTCTTTTTTTTTCTTTTCACGGATGCGTAAATACTACCAGGATTTTACCTCCTTGAGAGGACAAAATGGGCTACGTGAAGTTAAACCTTGAAAGGACCGAAGGCTTGTGACAAAATCGCCGATTTCGACGAAACTTAAATGGTAATTTACATGTTAATAAGTAAGAAATACATTTTGAAGGCTTTTCTATTTCCGTCACACCGATGCACTGTTTTTGAACTATTAGCTTAACACATTTAGGGCCGATTGCACTAACCGTGGTTAGGGTGAAATTATTGAACTATGATTAGTTAATCTTGAATTAGTGCAATTCGTATTGCATCGATAAAAATTACACTAACTGGCGTTTGAATCCATTCATTGTTTGGTACCATCTGAAGTCGGGTGATTAACTCTAATCGCGCATTAAGTAATCCTTGATTAAGGATTTTATCTCGAATGTTGGTGCAACCGCCCTTTAATATCTACTAATACATTGGTCATTTTCAGGCGTCTTATGCCAGCGTACTTTCCAATTACTTTAGCCAGGAGCGTGTTTAATAACTTGAGTGCGATACGTGCTTATTTATGCGAATGAATAAATTTCTTCATGCAGTTCGCGAATGGAAGTTTTTCTTTGAGGTATACATTTTAATTTTCTGAATATCGGCGATTTCGTGGGAAAATGTATAGTTGATTGGGCTAATTTGAGATTGTCGGAATGTTACGGAATCTCGAATGCGTTTTCTGCACGTCGTGCTTGATACAATGCTCACCTTAAGGTGATGTGAAAATGACGTCACGGAGGTCTCGTTTATGAAACTTTTCTCTCAATTGGGTATAATGAATAGTTTAAAACTTTACGTTGTGAATATGGAGTCTAGTAAAGAAGGTTCTGATCCCTTTGAAATTTAATTTTTTATGAGAAATTTTGAAAATGTCTATAAAAAAATAAAAAAAAAATATTGTAATTTCATGGTCCTTGAAACCTTCCTTATAGCCTCCATATTCACAGTTTAACGTTTAAAACGATTCGGTACACTCAGTTCAAAGCAAAGTTTCATAAACGAGATTTCTTTAATGACACTTTCACGTCACCTTAATGTTACGTACTGTAAATCATGGATATATATACTTGTATTGCGGCAGGTTTAAAAGTGCGGTCAATCGTCCTTCGATTATTCCCTTCATTTCCATGTATTCGTTTTGCGATTCGTAATTCATGGTAAGTGTTATCGGAGTGATGTTAAACTTGATATATAACGAGTTTATATCTCGGCAATACAGTAGACAATCTGAAAATTAGATGTACAGAATCGAGAGCCTGGGGTTGATTGACTACTGTGACTCAGTGCCTGGGCCGAACATTTAGAAGTAGGAAACGTGGAATATATTTCTCAACAATTCAAATTATCCCGTGAAATAGATATTTGAAATACTCGTCTACAATGTTAACAGGGAGTAACGCGTTTATTTCTAGTAACCTTTCGCGAGGCGAAGTTGTGAAATGACATAATTATCTCCACGGCAATGCTTCTAAGTACCTTTTAGGTAGTAACTTAATGGTATTACAAGCGTGGGACTTTTTCGGTTTTTTCAATTGTTCATGAGAGGTAGCTACTTCAAATAAATACTTCATAGTTCCATTTTGAAGATAATCATTTTCAATATTTATTTCAGAATGGGGCCTTAAGAATAGATATTTCATTGCATAATTTTAATGTTTCTTATGTGAAATGTGTGTTTGAAATATGTACTTCAATTGTTACGGTTGTTTTAAGATATCGCTTCAAATTCTACCCAGCATTGCTGTAAACTTTTTGAGCAGCGAAGATGAAACCAACTAAGTTCGGAGGTTTCATGATACACTATACAAGTTTACTTAGAATTATTAACACGGATATAAGTACAAACCAGATGAGGAAGAAGCATTTTGATGTCAAGCTTTGTTTAAGGATTATTATTGCTGTAAAATAAAAATAGACTTTGCGATTGCTGTGCATGCACCGCTGTAAATAGTATTTCTTTGCTTCTTCGTTTTCTAGAAAGAATTTTTGATACTTCCATTATGGATAAATAAGTTAACTATTCTTATATGATAGTACATATTTTGACAAATTAAGTACTAATTGCAGTACTTTGCGTTATTACGAATTAGTTAATTGTAAGCGATGAGCAGCCTCTAGGGTAACTCGATAAATATGGAACAATGTTCGGTTTGCGCTGAAATTTAAGAAGTAAAGTGTGATCTTCATTGTAAAGTGCGTTACGCAAAACCAAATAAATACGTAAGTGTCTGGGTTTGATAGATCTTCATTTAGCATAGCCTACATCGGATCCTACTGCAAGTAAATCAATTATTTGAATTGAAATGATCACATTTACACGCACTTCTATTACGTTACTTTACCATTCTCTTTTGAATATAATTCAAGCTTTCGTTGGAAGTTGATCAAAACTTTATTTTGTAATATGGTTCGTCGCTAGTTCACTGCCCTATACATATTACCATTTACAAGAATAGAATTCATTGTCTTACGTACTCTTATAAATGCATGAGTTAAAATTAAACTCGTACGCGTACCGGACGTCGTAACATAAAAATATTGAAGGATGTTTTTACAGTGCATGAATCGTAATAAGACTAAATTGTTTGGTCGCATTCATATGGGTTTGTATCCAAAGCTGCCCAACTTATCAAATCTTGCTTTTTATTTTGCATGACCTGTTTGTTCCCACAGGGAAATTAATTATTGAAATAGTTTCAATGCTTCAAAAACAGCGAAATTGTCATACCCTTGTTCCTGTACTTTATAACAGTTATATATGCTAAGATACAAATAATATAAAATCTGCATTGGAGCTTAACTTTATGATGAAGTAGCTGGCGATTTGAGTCGATTTTTCAGCCAATATGCACCAGCTAATAACATCGTGCAACAAAACCCAACCAGCAATCTTAGTTTCCAATAATGTCGAGAACATCTTAAAACATTAATCACTTTGACAGTTTGTTCCCTAGTATCCCGCTCGCTTCCTGAATTTTCAATAACGAAATTTGCCATATTTGCTTTTTTGTCCAAAGACATTTGTGCTTCAATTCTGACTTTTGCTTTGGCTTCACTAAATTCAGACCGTTCCATTAATCGTTGCAATTGTAGATCTTCTTCACTAAAAGTAAAAATGAGCTATTATAGAAAAATTATAAGCACGATTTTGTTCTTAAAATAATACAAATCAGTATCAAACAGATAAAGCATAGTTTGTCAGAAGAATTCTTTAATGCTGTCCTTACCAAGTAACAACGATGATTTTATATAAGTAATTTAACATGTGACCAGTTTCAAAGAGCAATGGAAGATCCATTACTATAAATGGATGTCCCTGTAAAAAGTGTTTGAATGCTTGCCAGCATAATTCTCTGTATATGTGAGGGTGCGTAATAGCATTAAGTTTTCGTCTCTTTTCAATATTATCAAATATTATATCACCCAATTTAGCTCGGTTAAGGTGCCCATTTTCTAGAAATACTTCGGAGCCAAATTCTTCCTTAATCTTATGCCAAGCTGGTTTGCCTGGTTCGACAACTGAAACAAAAGAAGTAATCTTAGAAGCTAACAGCAAAGATGAAAAAAAAACGATAACAAAGAACCAATATACAGAATGGAGAATCTTTTAAGTAAATGAATGTAAACCATAGATAGTACAAGTACAATTCGTAAAAAAAAAAAGACAAAAATAAGAACGGAAGAACATTCCATTGGAAAATTTCGCAATTCAGTGAAATAGACATTGGTCTTTATTATTATTATTCTAACCTTTCCGTGCAATTACATCTGCTTCGATAACCGGTATACCGAATTCTCGGAAAACAGCACCGACGCTACTTTTCCCGGTGGCAATGCCACCCGTCAATCCAACAATAAACATCACGTTAACGAGTGAAATATTTCGGGCAGACAAAAGCTCACGTCAAATACACATTTTCCTGACAACGTGACATTCACAAGTGAAATATTGGTTTAAATGACCGTAGGATTGGAGTTAACTTTAAACGGTTTTTCTTATCTCGAAACGTGATTGGTCAATAATTTAACTAATTCCTCTGGTGGATTTATGAATAACTGAAATGTTTCAATTTAAGCCACTGAAGCATATAGTAAACAAGATGTTCGCCAGCAGTCTGTATTCTTTATCGCCAGTGTAGTCCGCTTTTGTACAGTCTAATTAGAAATTAAGTTTGGCACTACCACTGCGCGATATCGATCGTGAATAATACTAAACTTTCCTTTGGGACGATATGACCAGTGCACACGTATTGGTTCGCTTGGGAGTGGAACAGTGATGGACAGCCATCTGTTATTTCATCGTTCTCGTACAAATGTTCATTGGACTGGATGCGACAAAGATGTAATTACATCCAAATCTATCTCTCTCTGAACAAGCTTGCCGTGTTTGTGTGTGAAGCATGGACGTATGGTATAATACATAGCCGCTTACTCTCTGTGCTTGAATATAGAGATGAGTTGGGAGATTGCTCACGGGTAGTGTTTTGCGATCGCGTTTTATGCTGCCCCTGGTGGAGAATACAGGCGGCTAACATACTTGCCCTCAATGGCGGCCCACCTCAGGGATCCAACTCATCTCTGCTCCCCAGCGCTCGAATGTGGAAATTTACCGTATGGTGGCGCTTAGGAGAAATAAACTCATATTTCGCCCCCAGTGAGGATTTCAAGAAATTTCCAGAGAGTAGCAGAGAGAATCCTTGTCTTGGATGTTACATCGAGTTACTAGGAGATGGCCGGATACGCTTCGAGATCTCAAGCTGAAGAAACGAGAGAAGAAGCTGATGTGAAGATTGGGCAATTTGTTAATATTCGTTTAAACAAGCTCGAGAACTTATGTATTTGCGCTACTTGTATAATAAACTGTAAAATAATTAACGTAATAAAGAAAGTTATTGAATAACAACAATGAGTATGTTTAATTAAATGAGCCTATCTAGCGAACCCTCTAATCGCCTATTCCTGATTCTTGAAAATCGCTCTGTCGTAAAAATTTAAATTCTCATAATTTCTCGATAAAGAAAACTTTGGAGAAATTATCGATAAGTTACCGGGAACCTTCTCATTCCTGATGTAACTTACCGAGTTTAGAACTCTGAGAAGCCGCATATTATCAGTTCATGCTTGATAGCAAGCTAACCTCCATCTGGTGTTGATAAGTCGTACTTTGTATCCAAAGCTATGGTATTACACAGCCGGTATGACTGATCTCTATACTTTCATATACAAGGAACATCAAGGTTGAGTTCGATTATATATGCATACTGACGCAGTCAGCTACGTATGCATGTCAGGTAGTGGTGGTGCATATACTATACAGATATGAGCTTTTCGTCGTAGTACGGGCTTGTACGACAGTTCATCATGGCGGACCCATTGAGTTTGTTGCGGCAGTACAATGTTAATAAGAAAGAGATAATCGAGCGTGAAAACGAAATAATATTCGGTGAATTTTCGTATCCGAAAAATGTGAAAACTAATTATCTTACATACGGGTAAGTTTTACGCCCAATTTTCGTCTAACCCTTGTATACAGCTGCGGTACTGTTTGGCTTACTTTCGACTGCTCCGTATTATTCTGTATCGTGCACGGCACAAATTAAATTTTTGTTTCTTGCGTTTATTGGAACGTAGTTTAGTAATTTCCATGAAAAATAAGGACGATTGGATTTGATTTTGAATGGAGAAATCGTTATTTATATGTTTAGGTTAATCGTTGAATTTCCCTTAAAACCGAAAAGCTTGAACCATGTCTTGAACGCGATCGTCAAAATGACAATTACTATTCCAGATCCGGGAAAGAAGGGACTCCCAAAGAATATTATACACTTGAGTGTCTGTTATTTCTGTTGAAACATGTTCAACTTACTCATCCAGTGTACGTACGACAGGCAGCGGCAGAAAATATTCCTGTTGTACGACGTCCTGACAGAAAGGATTTGTTGGCATACCTTAATGGTGAAACTGCCACATCAGCCGCCATAGATAAATCAGCACCATTAGAGATACCTACACAAGTCAAACGTACTGCCGAGGATGGAACCGAAAGTGGTTCTTCAAAGAAACCTCGATTTGAGGAGACGCATGTACAGAAAGTTAAGGAACAACTGGCAGCTCGATTGGATGCTCCAAAAGAAGCCTCGGTCACTGTGGATAATATCAAATCCCTTTCAGAAGCTATGTCGGTTGAAAAGATTGCTGCGATCAAAGCTAAACGATTGGCCAAAAAGCGTACGACTATAAAGGAGAATGACGACATTGCCATGGGATCCGATTTGCGTGTCATATTGGATATGGACGTCGATGACACTAAGGATATTGTTTCAAGGGAGAGGCAGTGGAGAACAAGAGCAACTATCTTACAGAGCAGTGGAAAATTATTTGCAAAGAATATATTTGCAATTTTACAGAGTATCAAAGCAAGAGAGGAGGGTAGACAGAAGGGTCCTTCCGCTCCTACTCCTATGGTTACTCCGAGATCCACTCCTATGAGAGCTTTACCTCAGCCAGCTGTATACAATCGTTACGATCAGGAAAGGTTCATCAGACAAAAGGAAGAAACCGAAGGTTTTAAAATCGATACTATGGGTACTTACCACGGTATGACCCTGAAATCCGTGACAGAAGGAACCAATCCAGCAATCAGAAAGCCACCACCGAATCCAACAACAACTCCTATTTCGGGCCTGTTGCCTACATCTGCTGCCAAATTAACTCCGCAACAAGTAGCCCAAAACAAACGTCCCAGCAGGACTCCGATTATAATAATTCCAAGCGCCAACACGTCTCTGATTACAATGTACAACGCTAAAGATATTTTGCAAGATCTAAAGTATCTCAGTAACGAGGAAAAGCGCTCAGCAGGTTGTAAACGAGAAAATGAGGTCCTTTTGCAGCGAAGGAAGGATGGTGGTCTTACGGTACCATATCGAGTTGTCGACAACCCGCAAAAATTAACGAACGCTGACTGGGAAAGAGTCGTTGCCGTGTTTGTTATGGGTCCTGCTTGGCAATTTAAAGGCTGGCCGTTTGATGGAAACCCTGTTGAAATTTTCTCAAAAAGTACAATGTTTTTATAAACTCTACATGCTTCCTATCCGAGAAAATATGTCTATGTTATATACCGTTTCAATTTCATTCCAGTTTGCGCTTTTCATCTGAAATACGACGAGATGAGACTAGACACGAACGTTGCTCGTTGGGCTGTGACCGTTATTGAACTAAGTCGCACTAAAAGGCACTTGGACAGAGCTGCGCTAATGGTCTTTTGGGAACACTTGGATAAGTACGTTCACTTTTCCTTGTTTTCAAAATCTCTCTTGTCTTCTACTTATCCAATTTATAAATCTCCGACGTCTTCTGTTTGCAGGCACATGATTAAGAACAAGCCACACTTACGATTCTAGGATCGTATCAAGGATATATCCGTGTGTTACGATTGGTATCATCGGGGGACCGTTCACACGTATTTTCGGTATCTTTTATCAACTATTGTAAATACCCTGGAATGATGTAACAGCCTTTTCTGTACATTAGGTAAGACACGGAACTGGATCGCGTGTAAGCACGCAATAAAGTATTACAACGTTGACGTATTCGAAATTGCGTTCAGGCTATTCCTTCGAAGACTACTGTTTCAACATTTCTTGGTTTCAGAGATCCTAGCGTAGGTGTTTGAGATATACATGTATCAGAGATATCTCTGTATATATATATGTGTATATATATATACATCGGGTTTGAGACCTAGTATTAGTCGAACACCGCATTGAAACCGGAAACAGGAGGGTGAACGGGCTTCTTGTCGCGGTGTTAAGTTTCCTATGTATTTAGTAATTCCAGCCGCGACTTCGGGTTCGCGCTGTATTTCCGCCTTCCCGGGGGATTCGTATTTTCCCTCCTCGAAGGCAAACCGAAAGAAAACCCCTCCAGGCGCTACGACCGCTCCGGGTTACCGATTCTATTTGCTCTCTCGATCGAATCTTCCTAACTCGATTACCCTTCTCCCTTCTATTACTCCGACAAACCGCGAAAACTTAGGGATTGCGTGATCCGTGTCAAAGAACAGAACTCAACCGAATAGCTCAAACTCATGTCCCTTCCAGAGTACAGAGAATGTTCCGAAGGCATTGCATGGGTTCGAGTTCGTCTTGGCTTTAATGAACCTCTTCTCGGATTCTTCACGCTAGCCTACTTTGAAATGATCTTAAACCAGTCTTCGGCTGTAGTATCGATGTATCTCGATATGCTATTAATTCATCTTGTATTAATAACTGTCTTCTTACAAGAAGACGCATATAGCGACATCTTTTCTTTCTTATGCGAGTGCCCTCTGTAAGAACAGTTCTTTCATTCTCGCCGAAGCAAAGTCCGAGTCTATCGCTATTTTATCAGCCAGAAAGCTTTAACCCTTGTACTGGTAGCTTCATCTTCATATATTAACACATTCGCGACCGCTGACGTGAATTCACGTTTTTTCAAGTTCTAGTCCTGGTTGCCGCTGACGTGAATTCACGTCATTTTAAATTCTATTCCTGATTGCCGCTGACGTGAATCACGTCCATGACGATACACGATACTAGTTTGCGGCGACCAGTTTCAGAATTTCATTATTTTCGCCGGTACTCAGTATTTGAAAGGGAAAAAATTTTCCGGTCGCGAATGTGTTAACACATTCCCTGCCACGTGTATCACCGATGAAACACATTTACCTCGGTTCGTTCCAGCTCGGCACGGAACGTGTTAATGACAAAACTAAGAAAAAGGTGCCCATGACGTATATATTTCTTTTCCGACGCAAATGCCCTATAAATTAACAGTTTTCTCAATCTCGGCTAATCAAAGTCCGAGCCTGATTTGCCATTTAATTAACCAGAAAGCTTTAGCCCCGTGATGAGCGCGACTGATAAGACTTGTTCGTATGACATTTTCCGTATAATTCGTCCGCGAGAAATAATCACGAGGAACGAACCCGAAGATCGCACTTCTGAATCACTTCGTACAGCCATGCAACTATACAGGCCTTTAAAGGTTTTTTTTTATCGAAGTAGTAGATGGATCCATTAACTCTAACATTATACCAACGTACTTATCAATGTATATAGAGATCAACATGCATAAGCTCCTAAGCCCAGGTTGTAATCAGGATCGAATCAATATTTAATGCGTATTCCGAATCGTTTCATTTATTTCTCGTCGGTCTACGAGGAAAATATCCAGTGGCGATATGTACGTAGAGCTTCTAATTACCTGCACGCAATGTAGTAACTAGAAAATGCCCGATGCAAGATGGCAGATCGGATTAGCGTTACAAGCGATAAGTTTATGCCGTGTTCGATCCGTCAGGTGTAGTTGCACATGTCGCATCTGTTTGGCTTTAAATTACTTTCATTGGACGGCAATCCCGGAGCCGCTGATGCTAATTAAAAAATTAATTAATAGTCTCGTTATTTTCTCCGCATTGGACGATTTATCAGGAATCACCGGAAAACTTTCTTGCGGAGCTTGAAGATCTTCGGCGTGCAGTTACCCGAAACTCGGCTAGCTCTTCGAGGGAAGCACCTTCAATTATTTTATGATAACGGTTAAACATACACATGTGTGTGTATATATATAATATTATATTACACCATATTCTAATATGCTGTAATATAATCGATTTATGCACAGGCGCTGCGCACTTGAACCCCTTATCTTCTATGTAATACATTCCGATCGCGGGATATCGGCGAGGAGAAAATTGGGTCAGGCTGACGCGAAGCAGCGACATCGAATGATTTATTAACGGCGCAAGTTGTCATAGTCGATAGAGCACGTAGGACTTGAGTACAAGGACTAGTACGAGTATATCACGGGAGCTTAAATAATACCGTCCGGGGAACCGTAGAGCTTTTCCGCTGAGCAAGGGCGCTCTCATGCAAGATAATCGTTCAATGGAGATTCAGAGGACGCGGACCACAATGTTTATCACGATTTGCATTGTTACCGAATGATCCGGTTGCAATTTGCGACTTTCCCGTAGACAACTTCTGATCCCTGCCGAAAAAGATACATACGAATTGTAATTTCTCGAGAGCCGTACAACGTTTTCGTTGACAGGTTCTTTCTTCAGGTTCGTAAATACCGCGCACGTATATTCAAAGTCTTCGTGATAACTGCATCCTGACTTGCAGGATCCCTTATATTAATTAAAGGTACTAAATAAGGGGTGTATTTGGAGCACTCTTCAGAGGAACTTGCAGCACTGCGCACAGTTCGGCTGAACGCAGGGGATTCCTGGGATCCCGGAAATGCCTGGCAGCCCAGGTAATCCAGGTAATCCTGGCATGAAGGGCACCATGGGTGGCAGGTGCATCATCGCCGAATACCCTTGGCTGGCGATCCTGGCACGCAAATGATCTCTCTCTGCCCTGGTATGCAGTTCTCCTGGTTCGAAGTAGCTACCGAATCTCGTTCCATATGCAAGGACCTCCGGCTCGTCGCTTTTCGTCCTTGGTAAGGGTCCTCCTGGCAGGACTTCGGAGAGCCGATACCTAGCATCCGCGTACAGTGTTCTGGACAGGTTGGCGCATACAGGTGGAGGCGGAAGGGAACCGGAAGAGTTGGACGATCGGTCGTCAACTCTCGGAGGACGAAACGCCGAGCCAGGATTATTGGAAGTCTCGATGCCGTTCTCCAGGATACTCTCGCTGGCGAAGTACTCGACGGCCTTCAGGAGGTCCTGGCCACATCGTTGGAGCACCAGCTGGAGCACCGACGGCCTCGTGCCAGGAAATAGCCTTGCCAGGGTGTCGACGGATGCCTGAGGGATCGGTCTCCCAGATTCCTTGGAGGGGTCCTTAGAGGAGTTCTTCGAGGCCTCTCCACTGCTCCGAATCCCTCCGGAGAGGATGCTCCTTGACGAGAAGAACCCGGACGAGTCTCCAGCCTGTTTGCATCGATTTACATGTTATACTACACGAGACTGAGTTCTCACGGAATTTCAATTCAGGAAGGATTTTCGTACTTCTATTCTTATACCAAAAGGATGCACGCTTAAGGCCTATGTGCGCGATCAAAGAACTCTGTCAGTTTTCTGTCCAAATTTGTACATTCTTTTACAATTAGGCCCCTTAAGACGGCGCTGTTTGTCGTGAAATCGTTTCCCGATGTTGCTACAATATTTAACCATTTAGATTTTAGGTTCCAGTGGTAATTTAAAAATGTAAGTTTGTGGTTGTTACATAAAGTCTTTAATTACTACATACATTTTATTACGAGGATACATCGTTTTGTTTTATCTGCATATATATATTTTTTTCTTATTGCCCAAGTCTCTCTTTAATTACACCAGTTTACTTTCTATTTGTTTTACTTTCTATTCTTGATGATTGTCTTTCTGTACGTAAATGTTCCAAAGTTTGCAATTTTGACGTATTTTTGATGGAAAAATGTAACCTTCTGCTTTTTTGTATAAAAATCGAGGGGCTATTCACTCGGAAATCAGTGAAAATAATTTCCTTCGTTGAGAATCGATTGCCTTTCGTTTCATATGAAACGCAATAATGCGATTCGATAACAAGTGACAGTAGGCCTTAAAATTGTGACAATGTTTTGGTGATTTCCAACGATATCTGCTTACGATTTCCAGCTGATTTCCACGCGATTTCGAGCATTAAAATTCATGATTTCCTGAGAGAATACCCCTCGATCAAATTTACGCATAAAAACTTTTCATCTAAGGCGCTAATGTTGGCGATGAAACTTCTATAATAATAATAACGTTTTTATTTGATAAAGAACCTTAACAGAATTCTTTGATCGTAGGTATGCAGTCCGGCATTTATTACTCACGGCTTTTTTCTCATCGTTCGTCAGAGAAAACGGCGAAACAGCTAGTATATCTCCAGGGAAAATGCGCGGCTCTAGTGCGTAGGCGCCAAAAGAGTGGAATAAAAAAGAAAGAAATGGAGAATTCCGGGGAGTTTGGCGATGGAGGACAAAAGCCTTTTCCCCTCAGGTTTCAAGGTTTCATCTCGAGTACTAAAGCCTTAGCCGCGAAATATTGCAAAGTGTCGCAACTACGTTTTCGTGACGTCGTAAAGCCCTCAGAGATATAGATTCGAGGAAGCGTATCTAACAATAAGTCCTGGTAAATCTCTTCCCCCATTTCCGGCACTTGAGAAAAGGCCATTTGCAACTCTTACACAAAATAAGATCAACGAGCCAACAATCGAATTTAATTAATGCAATTTCGAGTTACAATCGAATCATGTAGTGGAAATGCAGGTAACTGGTAAACGAGTAAATTGGACTAACGTTGACGCCCGAGGAATCAAACATCATCCTTTGATTCAAATTTCAAGCTTCAATCGACAAATTTAATTGGCCACTTGTGACTTTACCGAGCAGTCGATTTTCAGGTAGGATTTATGTCGCGAGGAAGTAATTGTTACAATTAATAAATAAGTCAGGAAAATGAAATTGCATGAAGTTGCCGCATGCAGAAAAAGATTTCACAGTCATAATAAGAAATTTTACTTGCTGCGACAAACGTGAAACCCTTGAAAATGGGTCAGCAACATCTTTGGCCAGAAATATTTTTGTTATATTGACAACAAAACAACGATTACTTCCCCGGAGGAACACGAATTCTATATATAGAATGCAATATTCTTTTCTAGCGACAACAAATTGTACATCGCTCATTCGTTTGAATAGAGACAACAATATGTTTTTGGCTGTTGCAACAAATTCATTAGGAAATTTAGTAAGCATTATATTTCTAAAGAGAGCTCTCCAATGGTTACGTATACGATTCGACATAATTGCAAATATTTTCGTTGTTGGTGCGATTATACCTGCAGTAAGAGCAAAACTTTATCGGCAATGCTGTCCGTTGCTAAAAGTGCAAATGTCTTTTTTTCCGTACGTTTATCAAGCAGAGTGTACGTACGCATGTTCCATACCTGCAAACTCCGAGAGAATCTTTGCGCTGAAGACGGTTCGTTTTCCTCCGAGTCCTTGCCGAAGGACTCTTTTCCAAACGACTCGGTCGGGGGGGTTTTCGAGTTGCCTTCCGGGTCCTGGGTAGTTTCATCAACGGACTCCGATCTACTTGGACGATCAGGCTCGGTGACGGCCATTCCAAAAATCTTCCCCGGAGGAAGCCTCGTCAGCTTCCGACCGGTCGCCACCTTCGCCATGCTCAGAGCTATCGCGTCCTCGGCGGCTTGTTGCCTTTTCAGGGCCACCTGAACAGACAACGTTGCTTCCAATTTCTAAATCGATTCTTCTACAACCGATACGGGACGTGTGTTTTCTCAGTACGCGAGTCAGAGGCCAACATCAATAAAGAGACCTTCGGGAACATTTGGTCGATGTTGTCGCAAGACCGGCCCACCCACGAGATCCTTCGTCTTTCAGCCCTTAAAGGCCATATCGGCGAGTCAATCGTGATCTTCTATTTAAATGGAGGTTTACTTCCGGTCGAATTATCAAGCGAGGACTGAAAAAATATTCAAGCACCTTAGAAACCCCCCGGGAATATTTAAAATCCTTCACATGCCTTGACAGGGAGGATATTAGGTCTTCGAGTTCTGCACTTCGGCCAATTCCTCAACGTCTACGCTCAAAATCTTATCTGAGAAATTCATCCCTTCCGAGATATCGAACCGAGCTAAATGAGCGTACGAAATGAAGTTACTCCGGATTAGGGAAGAGAACCCGAATTAAATATTCCCCATTAATCCCAGTATCTGCGAAGTCTCCGGTGAACTTTCTTCCAGAGATCTTATTTCCAAGTTCGCAGTCGATTAAGTCGTCTTGAATTTACATGCACGAAGGTCTGTTCGAAATGGGCTGACCTAGAGATTTAAAGCGCCGTCGAAAATGCTATCTGATAAAAACTATCGCTTCTTCCTAGGAAGAGTCTGATTTAAATTCTAAAGTGAAGCCATTCGAGCTTTTTACCCGAAATCCAATCGTAAAGTCCATCAGAGCGCTTTGTTGGCAGATCAGCATTCGGAATGGATGCGATACATTTTTTTCACGATTTTTCTTACGTATCCATCATTTTAATCCGCAAAGTAGATATCTAAGAATTTAAATGCAAGGTGTAAGGAACTCGAGCGAACGAAATATGTAAATAGTATCTATTGTTCACGGGATTCGAGAGAGTCTACGTCGAACTTTGATATGAACCGAAAAATAAGATGCGGAATCAATCTGAGTAAGACACTAAAACTAATAATAAAACTAAAAATAATGATCTTGCTTATTCCAAGTTCAGAGTACATTAAATCGCTCTGAATTTAAATGCTAGAAATCCTTTTCACCATCAAACAGCCTAGAGAATTTCCATGCAAAATGCAATCGGAGGAAAACTAACATTTCTTCCCACAAGGATTGCAATACCAAAATATGACCAATTGAGCCATAAACCCAAAATCCTATTTTGGAGTCCCCTGGAATGTGTTCTTCGGGTTTCAGAGTCTGGGATGAAGCAATAAATTCCTTCCATGGATTTTCTGACATATTGACGATTTAAAACCTTAATGTAGATGCCGAGGAGTTCAAGTGCAAAATGGAGGGAAAGCTCTTGGGAACGGAATGTTTGACTAGTCTATGACCCGTAAAGTTCGAAAGGGTCTAAGTCGAGCTCTGACATGGACTGAAAGGTACAAAATGGATTTAACTTGGAGAATATTCACTCAAACTAATTCCAGTGCTTACGAAGTTCCTGTTAAATTTCTAAATAACAATCTTGTTTACCCCAAGTTCAGAGCCGATTAAATTGCTTTGAATTTATACACTGGAAATTTCTGTCAACATGAAACGACTTAAAGAATTTCCACATAAATTGGAATCTGAAGAAAACTATGATTTCATCCAAGGATTTGAATACCAACGATATGATCAATTGAGTCATAAATCTGAAACCTTATCGTGGGGTCCACCGAAAGGTATTCTTCGGATTTCAGAGTCTGGAGCGGAACAATAAATTCTTTTCATGGATTTTCTTGCGTATTGACAATTTTAAAGTTGAATGTAGATGCTTAGGGATCTAAGTGCAAGGTGGAGGGGACTCATGCGAACGGAATATTTGGATACTATCTGTGGCTCGTGGGGCTCGAGAGGGTCTACACGTCGAGCTCCGACATGGATCGAAAGCTACGATGTGGACTCGGTATCGAGTGTCGTAATGCTCGCGTAAACAGAAATGAAACGCTACACCGTGCGTTAATGGATTTAGCTCTCGGGTGGAAGTTGCTCGGGAACATTTGGCGTGTACGTAACGAGCCGCTAAAGTCGTCCGTTGAATATCCAGGCCGTTAATCGACCAAACGTTACGCGGGCTTGTTACGAAATGAAAGGGACCAGGTTAAGCCGAGTTTCCCATGCCAAATTAACTCGTAACATCGGGGATAAGTTAACGCCGATTGACGTTCTCTTGCCACGTCGTCCAATTGTATTTTTATTTTCATCCCTCCGATGCCTGAATCATCCTCTGATAAGCGAATAATCTCTTTGCCTGGATACGAAGAACTGCGAATTGCCACTTGTATGGAAAGTATTATGTATTGTTAAATGCTCATTATACTTATATGTTAAGATTAGTCGCTTTCGGGGAAGATAGGAAATATAATGATAATATAAAATATATAGTATAAAATACACACATAAAATAAAATGCAATATAAAACAGTTTCTAATATAAATGTAAAACATAAAAGCCTACGAAGCAGTTCAGGCAAGAATATGATGCAGCGTAGGCCTTGTACGTGCTTTTAGCAGCAAAATCGATTTTACTCTTCTACGTGGAAAGAGTGAATCACCGGGGGGCATCATTCGTTTTAATTTAGACGTCGCGCAGCAGATTGCTGTAACGTAGAATTTTAATTAGGAAATTCATTTTCTTTCTCCCACTCTATTGATAATTTTCCTCCACAAATTAATGATGTAAAGATATAAAATGGCCTACGGTTCTACGTAAAATTACAGCAGCACTTATTACTGATAAAAATCGCTAAATTCGATGAGAGGTAGAAATGGTTGCGGCGTGTTTAAAGGAATGTGGCGAGATATGAATATCGGTTAACATAAAACGTAACGTACATGTTAAAGTAAAAAATTTAGCTAGATAAAATGTTCTACTGTTACCTGAGCAGCCATGACTCTTTGCCTTTCGGCGATCAAGGAACATTTCGGGCAGAGACATTCCCTGTATCGACACTCCTTTTTGTGTCCTCTCAGCCAAGATATAAGTCCGTGATTTCTGCATCTTGCACATTTCGGCCTCCTCTGCTTCCCCTCGGTCTCCTTTTCCCTTTCGGTCTCTTCGATTTCCGACCTTTTCGGATTCCCTCGCAGCATCTGTGTTCCGGTTCGATCCTTTGGTTAACGCGAAGCAGCTTAAGCGGTTTTCTTTTGAAGAAACTTCACCATCCACTGAAAGAATACTTTGATCCTACTTGAAACATTACTAAACATTTTCTCGAGTGTTGGAAAATATCTCACGTATCGTTTGACCGGCAGGAGGAATCTGAACCGGGCACGTATATACATCCACATGTATTATTTAATATTTAAATAAAAAAATGGTACACTTCATTCGTAAACAGACATTGGTTTATCAATAACTGATTTGTACAATCAGACTTCAGCTACAGAGAAACGGTTAATTTCGAGACTAGGATAGGACACTCTCTTTCACGTGATCGTTCAAAAGATAATCTTTTTTCAGTTTTCCCAAAAAGATCAACGATTTTACTAACGATTCCTTCCAATAAACCATGAAATTGAAAAATCTTTTGCATTTCAAGAATTTGCATACGTCTGCAAAGGAATATAAGGAAACGTGTAAATACTCAAATTACTAAACACGTAAATAAAGCTAATCGCCCGAATTTAGGTGATTATTCAACAGCGGATTATAATTTTCGGTAAGCGTAATTTTTATTGGTGCAACACGAAATTCACTATTTCAAGGTGAACAAATTGTAGTTAAGAAATTGCACGCCGAAATCACTGTTGGGGCAACTGGGCTTAAAGTGCTCACATTTATATCTACACCAGGAATTCGGGCGAATAAACAGCAACACATAAAAATCCAATTCAGCGAGGTATCCAAGCATACCTAAACCAGGAACGTTTTCTTCACCATCTTCGCCGAATCTGCCTCCGAGTGTCACCTCTTCGCGTTCACGGAGGCAAAAAAATGGGATAAAAAAGGAAATAAGAGGAAGTTCTCGACTCGGAGCCGGCTAACCCGGAAGGATATCGGGACGATATCGGGAGCCGCGAGGACGTCTTAATCCCGAAGCCCTTGGCAGCTAATCGGCGACTGAGTGTCCCGAATGGTCCGTTTTCAGGGTCCGAGATTTCTTCCGGGGTTCTCGCCTCTGATTGGCGGCGACTAGGATTGGTGTCGGGTGTCGGGCAACCGATTCCAACATCCCTCCAGCATCCCTCCGGTATCCCTCTCGCTCGCCCGAGAGACACGTCCCTACCCGGGATGCTGCGCTCCAGGATAAACATCGGCTGGACCACCCTTTCTCGTCCATTGGCTCCGTTTTGTTTGTCCTCTTCGCCACTCCCAGCTGGGATTCTTCACCTTACCTTTCCTCCTCCGGTATCGCGCTTATCGGTCGGATGGCTGACGTACTGACGGTACCATCGATACCGACATCGATCGAAAAAAGAGAAGCCCCCGACACAACGCGAATGCGCCCCGTTTCGTTTAATTATTAATCCCCCGGACTTTTTCTCGTCATTCTCTCCTCTGGGCTGCGTGCTCGGGCGATGAGAAAACCCAGGTGCCATCCTTGAGACGGGCGACGAAATTCCCGAAGTATTAATTCCTTTTCCCCGTGAAAGGGGACAAGAGGACGACAAGAAAATTCGAATTAAGTTTCGGGGAGTTTAACCATTTTTCTTTGTTTTTTTTTTCTTTCCCCGCTTCGAGGATATCGATCTTTCTTGTGTTTCGCCAGGAAGCACTTGGACTTCCTTGGGTGAAATTTTACCGATCGTTTAGCGGAGTAATGCCTGGGTTTTAGGTGGGCTTAAGTTGTGTCTATTAGACCGGGGAGCCGAGGATGAGGATTTTCAGTCAGACGGCGGAAAGTGGCTCGTAAAAGCGGACAAGACTTGTAACTCTTCCTCCTCGTGGGATTTACCACGTGTCCAAATCTCGGAGAAGTGCCGTCGCAAATTCTCCCCCGTCACTTGGAGGCTCCTCGTTAATTGGAGGGCTACAATGAAAGCGCGAGTTACAAGGATGGTCATGTTACGGTGACAAGAGGGAACCGCGTGGCCCCCTGCCAAACCGCGAAATCGGAGGCGCCGATGTAGCAACAAGTTGATATAATCCGGCGTGCATGGGAAAATGGGTCGGCGCGGTTTAGCTGGGGCTAAAAAGTGATAGATTTACATATTACGGACAGCGTGCCGGCGGGTTGTCTATGCACAGGTTTTGGCAGATCTCCCGAGCGGCGAATAAACAGCCCCGAAGGCGTTCCCGGTTCTCCGACTGGCCTTTCTGGACCAGGAGACTGGAAGACTCGAAGATCAACCAATTTCGAGGATTACTCGCCACTTGTTAAAATAATCGGACGGTCACTTTACTTTTCCTTTGGCAACTGAAACAACAAATTCGCTCGGTGGCGAAAAAGAAACGGTTCCGTGTCGCGGTGATATCAAGAAAGATCAATCACGTTTCGGAGGATATGAATAATCAAGCGGACATTTATCTTTCTCTAAAAATATTAACACAAAACAACATAAGGAGAAAAATTCGAATAATCGAGTGCCAAGACAATTTAGGGCCGATTGCACCAACCGTGATTAGCGTTCCATTAGTTATCTGCAATGAACTAATTACGAATTAAGAAAGTTTCGGCTGCATTAATTCTAATTAGAGCTAACGGGGGATTAAGAAACCGTTGTTAACTAATCAGCTAAGTTTCTTCGATTAGCGCTCTAGTCGAGATTAAAATAGTATCGAAACTTATGTGCGATGGCGTTGCATTGCAGAACAGGAAGAAAATGATATCGTGAGACATGAATCTTATCGAGATTAAAAAATTGGGTTAATTTTAAATAAATTTTAAGTAAATAACGGACTACCCTTCATTTGTAGTACCTAAATGTAAAAATATCTACGTCGAATAAAAGCACAATCTCTGCATCTAGCAGATAAATTTGAACACCTCTGACATGTGTCATTCATTTTTTATGTCGTTTTAGTTCTTAGTTTCTTTTACTTTCATCTATTTTATTCAGTATTTTATGTACGCAGTTTATTCTACATTGATGAAGTTAGATAAACTCTTTAATTACAAAGCGCCCAGTCGCTATAGTCCTATTTACTTTATTCCCATGTATTCAAAGCGACAAATTAATATCGTATTCATATAAAATATTAACACTCCACGGCCGAGTTATCCCTACACGAGATGATACATCTCCACATCCGACCCTATCGTAGTTAAAGGGTTAAACAAGCGGTATATCATCCACAAAACCATTAATACTTTTTTATCAATTAGGAAACACCCGACAATCTAGATACATTATAATCACCCGTTTTCTAATATCAGTTAATCTTAGTTAAACATTAGTCGGCGCAACAGAGATCGTTAACCTTTTATTAAATTGCAATCGTAGATCGATGAATCCGAGTTAATGACGTTAATCGAGGTTGTTGGTACAACCGGCCACGAAAAACAAATGGAATGTGGTTCTGCAATAAAAATGGCTCTCGAATGAAAGCACGTGGGGCGATATGGGAATCGGTGTGCTGCCAAGAATCAAGATCGTTTAATTCGTAGATTTATCTTTACGAGTACAGATTTCTTTAGCGAGTAACAATCGAATGCACAACGAACGAAGTACGAACCAGCGCTGATAGAAAACGAATGGACGTCGGCGTCCCGTTCCCAAGGCGGAACGAGAATCAGCGGTGAGCGCGGTTCGCTCCGACATATTTCGAACATTTTCCCAACATGGTTTCCAAATAGTTCCAACAAGTTTCACACGTGGCTCCGACGCGTGAGCCGAGCACGAGCTGACGGAACATTCGAAGGAGGTCTGGAAGAGGTCGAAAAGAGGTCCTCGAGCGCTCCGGGAACTCGTGCTCTTTCTGGACTCCTTCCCGATCCGCGTCCCGTCGTTCCATCGTACTCGTAACAATTCCCACTTTCCTGTACACCCACGCGTACCATTTGTGTATTCACTCCGCAAATCGGTCGAAATGGAAAATCCGACGAAAGTCGGATTGACCTGGATTTCGCGCGACTTCTAGCGTACGCCGATCTCAAGGAGAGCGTGCTTTGGGCTTGTCGCAGATATTAATTCGAAATTTATAACATGATCGGACCCTGAGATCGCGTACGCGGCCAAAGAGCTTCCGGCGAACGCAGACGGTACCGAAAATACGGAAATAAAAAAAGAAAGAACGCCCCGAGAGCGCCGAGGAATCCGGAGCGAGGACAACGGAGACCTTTTCCTTGTCGCGGTTACTTCATTTTATTCTTCTTTTTCCTTTTCCACTTAATGGGCGACAATTCCTGATCAGAGAATGACGTCGCTCTCGATAAATTGCGACATGCCAAGACCGTCGGAAAATATGGAGGTGCCGAGATTAATTTCTTCTCTGAAAAAGTGTCGGCAGCCAGGGTTACCAGGAGCGACGTTCGTTGATCTTCATTCTTCCTGGACAAATATTCTAGATTAACCCTTTGCATTCGGTTGCCCCCTCTGAGGGGACATTTTAACTCTAGATGGGATGGCGCCGAGTGCAAAGGGTTAATACACGATATATATAGGCTGCACGTTACGAGTGACAATATTTGTAGGCGTATTCTACCCTGCAAGAATATAAGAAAAATGATCTCGCTACTAGTAAATATGGATTCACGAACCATTTCATCCTGTGATAAGGCGTCGATTGCAGCATGGATACTCCGATTTCTTATATCAGGAACTAGGTACGGTGCAAAACGCTCAGAAATTTTAAACTGCTTGTTTTTTTCTTCGCCACCTCGGCTGATAGATTACTTTACACAAGGAATCATTTTTCACGTCGAAGTACAGTAAATATTACAATTTAACAAGGACCTTATCTTGGAAAGAAATGCGTGGACTAATGACTCGGATTTCTCTTTTAATTTGGAGCTGTGAAGTACGCCTGAAATCATTGTGAGGTTTTGAAAGCCCCCCGTACATGTATTATCGTTACACTGGCGCAACGCGATATGAATTCGGGAGCTTTCAAAGGATCCAAAAAAGAGTGCCGACTCCTCGCTCTGGCCCGGCGCGCCTCTGTTTGGCTTGGCGGTGATGCGCGACAATTCTACGCGATGCTCTCTCGGTGCATCGCGCGGCGTATGTACACGGC